TCTTTGACGGCGGCTGGGTCGTCGCCTTCGATAGCGATGATGGCTCCGCGGTTGGCGCGGTAGGAAGGGCTGGAGGAACCGGGCTCTTTGTATTGATAAGGTGGCGTTATGCGTCCGAGGAGCTTAATTTTGTTGGGGTATGGGAAAGCACTGAGAACTTCTTCTACGCTCTTGGGACTGCCATCAGACTGTAGAGATCCTAGCTCAACCATTGACTGATGGCGCATCTCGCGAGGGGTCCGCGGAGGAGGCATTGTCGCACTGTGTGGCGTCACATGGATGGGCGGCAAGGACTCGCGTCGATAGACAGCGTATTGCTGGATCGGGCCGTTATGTGATCCATCTGGTCTACGACCGTTACTCGTTGGCGGAGGCCCTTGGTCGAAGCGGCGCTTCTTGTTCGGCGTCAAAGGGCTATACATCATCGTGTCTCCACGCATGGTCGGATTGAGCTGAATGTTACTGAGGCTTGGTGGAATGGGGCCTCGGCGATGACCGGGCGACTCAAGGCTAAGGTTACTCATCACGGGTAGGTAACGAGTTGTTGGCGTGAGGCCTTCCGAGATGTTAGGAGGCGGCAGAGTCGGGGTGCCAGAGGCGTCGAGGAAAGGACTGGTAGGTGTTCTCAGACTGCGGCCACCACACTTGTGACAACGGTACTTGTCAACTGTCGTATGCTGGCCAGTAGGGTTCAACGGTGACGACCCAGGTTTGCCAAGACGACGCGGTTGGTAGCGATAGTCGGGGTATTGTTCCTGGTGCCTAGCCTTCTCTTCCTAACTTCACATTAACAAAGACAATGGAGGGTGGGGTGCCAAGGGCCACTAACCTGCGCAAGGTCTTGCCAAACCTTCTTCTGCTCTTCACCCTCAGCCTTCCACTGTTCACCGATAATCTTTGAGATGTCGGGATTGTTGAGACCCGGATTACGAGCGGTAATGGTCTGCTGATGGTGCTGTCGATAAAGAATAAAAGCTACGAGGCCATGGTCAGCAGGTTGCGCAAGAATGACCGCAAACAATGATGGGTGTCTTTGTTCTGAGTCAAATCCGAGTCAAATGCTCCAATTAGGAAAGTGACGTACATCCAAGACAAAGGAAGATAATATCGACTTACCATTTCGTGGACGCGGTATTTTCGGCTCTGGCTGACACAAGCAAACATGACCTGAGAAGTCTGGCTCGCCGCCAGCTGTAGCGGACGAAGCACTCGGGGGAGGTTTATCGTCAGATGGGCTGATCAGATCGTCGGCCCCATCAATCTCAATCAGCGGCGAAGGTCTTTTCCTTGTAGTCCTGGGCGACGACAAAGCGGGAGACGCTGGCGGCTCGTCCCTTTTAGTACGCTCAGCAGTAGGACTAGACGTGGAGGCTGGGCGTGTCTCGTTGATCCGACTGCTCTTGCGCAAGTTCCTCGAAGGCTTCGAATCGTCCATCGGAGACACTGGAGAGGCATCACCATTCTGCATGTTTGTCTTGACGTACCGCCTCGGCACGTGAAAGAAGGTAGCGACAGGCGGAGAATGGGGAGAAGAAGGAGTCAAAGTCCAAACAATCGGTGGCAACACTCGACTGGCTAGCATTTTCGATTTCTAGAGATGCGGCAGTTGACCTAATGACTCCGATGGAAGAAGGCGCGGTTCATTGTCCTCGGTCGGACACGAAGGGAGGGAACAGCCGCGTTGGTAACGAACCATTAACAACATGTCCGTATCTTTGAATGCATTATCCGGTAGCTAGAGTTGGATCTTTGACGCTTTGACGATGGTAGCAGCCGTGATCCAGTAAAATGATTGTTCCAGTCATATGCAGCCGATCTGCGCTGGCGGTTTCTTTGTTCTACTACTTCGGGAGCGTGCCAAGACGAGCTTCCACCAACCGCGAGACATGTACATTCCTGCGTCAGCTATGCAAATAAGAGCCGGGGCTTTGTCTCAGAACAGGGCCTGGTCTTGTCTCGCGTTCGTCATTGGAGTGGTACTTTGATGCGCGGCTTATGCAAGGGGCGCCAACGATGCAACACCTTCCCGCAATGCAGTGCCGCATCGCGACGGGTGTGGCTCAGCTCAGAAGCGAAGCTGTAGACGATAGTCTCCCCTATTATGACTGATGGTGTATGCAGTCAAAGCATCGAAAGACGGGCGCGAGCCAGGGAGGCAATAGACCTCAGAGATTTCCGCCTCCCCTCCACCCTCCACACTTCCCCAGTCCTCGCCAACAATACAACATTCTCTGTCATGACAATGACTGTGGCTCAGTGTCAGAATAGACGCAGTCATACTGCGCCTTGCCGCCATATGCCGTCCTGGTTGTAGCGAGGCGCATTTTACCCCGTGTCGCGGGTGACCATGTAGTTCCACGAAGCTCTTCTCAGCCATGGCCACGTTCCAAACAGTGTCTTTGACAACTTGTGCTGACAACCCGAGGGAAACTTCGTTCTGTTGGCGGGGTCTCAGACACTTTCTTAACGACCTGTGATAGTATCCCGGAAGAAACTTGAAGTCAAAGCTCGCCCCCTCTTGCTCTTCCGATCTGTCCCTCTTTCCTACGTCCGTGTCCGTGTCGCGGGGAAGCAGGAAGCTCCGTTCAGCCTCGGCCGAGTTCCAAACAGTGTCTTGTGCTAATATCCCGGAGGAAACTTGAGCTTAAACTGCACTCGCTCGTTTTCCTGCTTCTTCTCTTCCTCACTCTTTTCACGCACAGCATTAATGCTCCGATTCCCGCGTACCAGGTTCGCGGCATGTTTGCCAATGAGTTCATGAGCCGGCCCACTGAGCTGAATATTATCCCTATCACATCAACCCGTTAGCTTGAAACGGAGACAAAGCGTTTGTGCTGTGCTATGACTTGTGGCTTGAAAGGAGCGTGGTGCTATGCAACGACTGAGGTGCGTATAACGTGAAAGCAGTAGATGTATCAAATGATCGAGGGCCAGACTCATGACTTACCAAAACAGGTGCTCAGTCGGGGCCGAGCATTTGACCAACCCACTCCCCCTTACAGCATCCAAACAAGGCGTATCAACGTGTTCAAAAAGCGGTGCCTGAGCCCCCACACCAGTCGCATCAGAAATCTGTCGCGAGTGCAATTGTTTGGCGCGGACTTCATTCATGATGATAGCGTTTGGCTCAGGCATGTAGATGGCGCCGTTCTTCCATTCTGCAGCTTTCCGAACTAAGACTGTATTCCAGTATGACCATAGAAACACCATTCGGTGCTGAGTCACCGCAAAGTCAGCTTCCCGCATGGCTTTCTTTTGTAGTTGGAATTGCGGGAGGAAGGAGGCGTCGATCATTTTGGGTATGACGACGTTGGGTGGGTGGGCTGCGTGTTCGGCCAGGATGTCGAGACTGTGGAAGAGGGACTCGATGCTCTTGTCTACCGCGGACATGGCCACGGGCTTCTCCAATGTAGAGTATTCGAGCAGATCCCACAAGCCGAAGAAGACGGTGAAGAAAGTCCATTCGTCTCCTTTCCGTAGGCGTTCGGGGATGACTCGTCGCCCCTTGTCGTAGGCGACGTACTGTTCCATTTGTGTCTTGAAGTCAAACGACGTGACGGTTGTCTCGTTGCTTCCCGCGCCTTTCGTTTCCGTGTGGACGTTTGCGTCGACTAGCGATCCGATGTGTGCAGCCGCGGCTGGCTTGGAGTGGGCGAAGTTATCAATCGTGTCACATGCGAGCTGGAGTGTGTTAGACTGTGTATTTGTATGAGGGCATGACTCTGACGAACCTCTTTGCATAGTGTCTCTACCCAGAGGTCGCCTCGGTCTGCGTCGCGGGCTACGACTGCAGAGAGCACGGGTGAAGAGACGCGGTAGCTTCCTGTGTCGGACCAATCGTTGCCGAACACTACTATGCGGTGCGCGTTACCGCGCCATACGTTGTTGACGGTGTCCTCGAAGTTGGCGGAATGTACCCAGGTAAAGTACAAGATCATGAGAATGGCAAGGGCAGCACATAGGTGCAGCCGCGAGAAGAACCGCATCGTGTGGTAGGCTAGGCTGCGTGACAGGTGACAGGCGACGGGTGTGAGGGTGAAGTGGTAGCGATGCGATGCGACCCAGCAAATGGAAGCAAAAAGTGGGTGGACCTGTGAGGGTATAGGTCGTTAACCGCGGGAGTAGGAAGCGTCATCCTTGCGCGTCAAGAAATCTGACGACGCAGTTGACGCCTGTGCGAGTGCGAGCCTTGTTGTGCATCACAATCCCGGCAAACTATCCGTCAAAAGCGGATACATGTCGCGTGCGCGTCGTACCTAGGCAGTCAGACCAGCATCTTCTGAACACACTCCAACTTTGCCTAGGTGCCTATCTCAACATCAAGTACCCTGCCTGTAATAGGGACAACATTCTTCCTACAACTAATAATTAGCAGAGGGAAGAGAAACTCCACCACCGCCCCTCCGCCTCCCGTCCACCGCCCCCACCCACCCCGTAGCCAGTGTAGCCAGCGTCATCCTTGACAAGCGTTAAGGAACATGACGACGCCTGTGCAGTGCGAGCCTCGCTGTGATTGCATCCCCGGGAATACATGGGTCAGAAACGTCCAAATGTGGATACATGTCGCGTGCGCGTCGCATGCCAAACTCAGAATCCCATAATTGGCCTGACTCTCCATCGACTCACATGCCATCGACTCACCTTCCATAGCCAGAGTTCCCCTGGTCAGACTCACTCATTTTCTTTTTGCACGACCGCCGCGACACCGAAGACGCCGACATTACACAGCGCCGTCGTGCGAAAAGTTGAGGTTCTGACCGCGCGGAACCCACGGCCGCTCGGCATCTCGCCCCACTTCTCGTGGCGTAATCAGCGGAGCAGAGTTCAAGACTTACGTATATAATTTTAGCTAACGAATATCAGTGGAGGAGGATGCGAATGCCCAGGTTGTGAAAGCCACGAAGCCACAAATGGAGCAGACGCGCTATTCCTGTAGCGCGTTAAGTGCTTATCCTGCCGCCCGTTGGATACGATCGGGTTCGGAACATGCCAACCGCTCGTCAGCCCGCTCGCTGCACCGCCGCCGACTCCTCGCCATCGCCAAACTTCAGGTTCGCGAACCTGTCCATCAGGAAATCTCGCATCGCACCATTATCATCAATCCACTGTGCCACGATGAACGCCTGGTCTGCCCATTTCTTCGTCTTAACATCGTCTTCCGACAGGTAAAAGTCCACGGCGCGATTGAAAGCGGTGCTTGCGAGCCATTCGAGCTCGCTTTTGGGGTAGCAGTCGATCTCCTTGATGCACTCGTCAGCCAGGTCTGCAGTGTCGTCGTTTGTGGCGAAATCAGAAGATGGCGGCGGTGTATCCAGTCCGGCTGTCGCGATGGTGGGATGGAGGGTCTGAATGGGCTTAAAATATATCGGGATTGCTAGGGTGCGGGAACTTACGTTTCTCTGCTTCGCAGCGAGATGCGTTACTTGCTGGATACATTTGATGCTGACTTCCTCGTCATACTCGAGTGAAAGGCTGAACATGCATCTAAGCCAGCGTGCCAGTTTCGTGATGTCGCGGCCTGCTGGTTGGCGGCAAGTCAGGTTGATGATTTTCTGAAGAACAGATAGTATTTCTGTCAACCTCGTCAGTCTTTATCCAGCGAGTCGTTCGATGATCTTACTCTTCTGATATTTGTTTTCTAGTCCTGCTTTCACGATGCAGCCATGCACGACTAGAACGAGATCTGCAAGAGTCTCGTAATGATCCGGGTTCTTGTACTTCCAACATTGGTCGAAAAGATCGTCAAGCTCATCCCATCTCTCAAGCTTTAGGACAGCTTCGAGCTCCAGTTTGACAATCTGGAAGTATTTTGACATGATGTCGTCTTGAGAGGCTCCACCAAGTTTGCTTATGCTCTCTGCTGCGGTGCGTCGGAACTCCTGGCTATGCTTGTGGGCTTCGAGGTAGTAACCAATCTGTAGTAGTCAGACACTGGTCGTTCCGACGAGATGCGCGACTCACGCTTTGCTTGGTGTTATCCTCTGCGCGGGCCAGGGTGGTGTAGGTACAAGCAGCGAGGAACTCGCAGAACACCAGCCGGAGGCAAAGATCACCGTCTGGGTTTGGTTGGGTCTTCTCCTGGAGGAGCTTAATGAACTACAAGGGTCAGCGGTATTGCTTCCGTCTCGGACGTTCAGCTCACCTCAGTGCAGCAGCCGAGCAACCTGACCAGAAGTCCTGGTGACATCTCCGCGCAGTACTTCAGCGACATGTTGTAAGCGTTCTTAGAAAACCACTCAAATTCCACGGCTGTGAAAAGTTCCTTGGCCGGCGTGCTCGGCCTGATACGAGATGCTTTGGCTTGAACGCATGCTTTGACGATCAGTAAATGCGCCTCCTCCGGAAGTGTATAACGACTTACCTCCCTCAAAGACGTTGCAGATCTGTTCCAGGATACTGGTATCAATATTGCCATCTTTAACAAGCTCGGACTCCAACATACGTGCGGTAGACCTAATCACACATTAGAGGCGCGTAACACTTCGGGTGAGCGACGTACCGTAAGAGCGCAGGGAGATGTATTCCTGCCGGCGCACTATGCTCGTACTTCTCTAGAACCTTCTCGAGAGCATTGATAGCCTGTCTTTTGCTCCCCGCACTCTGAGCCTCCATGACGCAAGCGTAAAGTAGGGTAGCGTCTTTCGCGGAACTCCGACAGACATAATCGAGACATTCAGCAGCGAAGATCTCATCGCCGCCTCGCAGACCTGCCTTGTACATGAGGTAGCGAGTTACTGGGTCGTCTTTACCACTCTCAGGCATCTTGGCGTGCACTTCTCGAGCAGCTTCGAAATCTTGACGTGACAAGGCGCACTGTATGATCTTCCTCGCAACCTTGGTTTTGTTCTGAACGCCGGCCTTCTCGAAGATGTCATGAAGGCATGCTCGACACCAAGCCTCAGCGATGTCATGTTGTTCCTGGCTGGACGCGGCCTCCACCTTCTTCCACAAGAGGGTTTGCGCAGCATGTGTGGCAGGCGCAGAGAGCGAAACTTTGGAGTTCTGCGCCACGGTATCGAAAAGATCAATGAGTTGCTCGAGCGAGTTTTCTGACAGACTGTTGTTGATCCCAATCCAGATACGCGTGATGACTGCCTTCTCGATCCAAGACTGGTTTTCCTCCCGAAAGAGGCGGATATCGATCAGGTCGTCCAGTACCTTACAGGCGGTCGCGTTGCTAGAAGTGGTCAGCGAGACGCTGTAGGCGTGTATGATTATGTGTACCTGTGTTCTTTGAGCTTATGAATGTAGTGCATGATGCTAGAATGTGTTAGTCAGACTGAATTAGAAAGGCTAACGGGTGAGGTCATACGTTTTGAAGTTTGTATCGTTCAGCACGATGGTACGGATCATGCGCAGAAGGACTATGGGAATTAGCGCATGATGGCGGATAGGTCTAAGTAGCTCGCCATTATAGAACTCGGACGTGTCCATGGTTTCGGCTTCGGACAGCAGTTCGATCTTCAGCAATGAGACAATCATCTTATCCCCGAAGTCCTGAAGAGCGTTAGTCAAAGATAAGATTGAGTAAGACTGCTCAAGAGACGCACAGTCTCCATCAACTTCACCATCTGCCATGCCTTCTCTTGGGTAATAGGCGTCTTAGTCTTCATATACGCCTTGACTGACGACCTCATTAGCCAGAGCTTGATCGCCATGTTAACGGGACATGCATACCAAGACTTTGCATGATGCTGAGTCTCAGCTCGCCAATCTCCGGGCTGAGCATGTCGAGATCTTGCTCCCCAAGAACATCGAATGCACGTTCTAGCCATCTCGTAGCAACCTCATAATCGCGCTTCGCCAACAAAGCCTTCCCGATCTCGTACAGCAGATCCGCAAGCTGCTCAGTGGTGGTAGAGGTAAAGCTTTTCCTGACTTGTCTGCACTTCTCGAACATATGCTCTGCCATGCCCATCTGATCTTGACGCCACGACAAAGTCATCCGCACAGCGAAGTACTGCGCGCGTAGGCCGTCTGCGAGCTCGGTGTCTTTCTCAGGCTTGTCGTCGGGTCCCTTGCTCAGAACGTCTTCGTACTCAGCAGCGAGCTTGAGTAGGTCTGTCGCGATAATCAACTCATTCGCCTCGATGCACACTCTTGCAGCTTTCAGTGCAACCTTCATGAGACGGATGCAGCTCTTGCGCTGGCGTACGTTGTTTGGTCCGCGACCGCCAGCTGAGTCGAGGAGTAGGAATGCGTACGCACGGAGGAAAGGCACCACGTTGGTCTTGTCTGCCGCTGAATCCTTCGGCTGATTATTGACCTCGGAAATGTCGCGTCGCAAGCGCGTAGCTTGATTCCAAAGCTCTGTTCCCAGCCTGTCGACTTCTTCCTGCCTCGCGGTGACGGCAGATGAGGTTTTGAGTGGCAATCCGGGAATCTGAGCCTGAAGCTCACCAATGATTGTCGCATGGTTGCCGGCTTCTATGCGCTTGCTGAGCGTCGAGGCGAATGCTGGTGGGAAGGTAAGTGCCACGCGTAGGGCAGGCGCGAGGTAGTGCACTCACTGAGGACTGCCTTCAGCTTCTTCTCTCGCTCCACTTTGGCTGCTGACTGCGCGGACGGCATGATGCGTGTCAGATGGCAATGCGAACAACGTTGGTTGATGTGCAGCTTGAAGGTGTGAGATGTCGGATTGCGACTGCCACTCTGGAAGGTGGCTCCACACGCACGTGCATGAGATTAGGAAGGAGCATACCAGTGGACGCGAGCAAAACTGGATGCAAGACGGAGGAACGAATGAATGAAGATATGAAGGCAGGCAAAAGGATGTACATGTTGAAGTAAACCTGTGGATATCGCCGCACGTGCAATTACCCTCCCAAGAGATGTGCGCACTCTTTCTGACCAATGTTTTGAGACAACCAAGCCAGACATTACCCTGTTCCCAACCCATTGTACAGCAAAGTTTTACAAAAACACTCGTTCCAAGCCAAAGTTCCACCAGAGCGTCTACTCTTTGAGCTCGAAAACGCTCAAATCGGTGCCGTTGAAGATAATGCGCTCGCTTTCCCATGAATTCTTGAACTTGTAGAAGATTGATGAAGTCATTGTTGTGATTTGTGGTGCGGCTTCGACGGCCTCAAGACGCCGGTAGCGACCCCGATGTGGCCTCGGTGATGGGAAGGAAATTACCCACGATCAACGCCGGTCTGCCATAGTCAGTCCAGGCTCGAAAGCAATGTCCGCCTTCACTTACATATTCCAAGCATCGCGCTTGACGGTGAAAGAAAAGCAGCAACGTATCTCAGGATCTTTAGAGTGCGGGTCGGGGTTCTTCAAGGAGCAACTCGTCAGGATGGCTTTTTGAGTATGGTCGAATGCGATGGCGCCGAATTTCTCCCAGTACGAAACGAGTGACGGCTCGGCGATGATCTCGTGCAGAGCGATGTTACCCTACATTCTGTTAGCTGGATCGAAATTTGAGTGCTGGCAGTCCTCGCTTACGTCTCGCAACTTCGACATCGGTACGTGAATGAGTCGCGCCATCTCTTTGTTGCCGCGATATATCTCGCCTGTTCTTCTCCAGCAACATGCAGGTATAGCCATGCTTGCGAAGACGCGGTCGTACTCCATCAAGCTTTTGTCAAACCACATCTCGATGCGTACTAGATCCACATCTGTCAGACTCTGCATTCGCTCTCGGAACTTGGGTCGGAAGCGATCGAGTTGGCGCAGTACTCGGATGCGAGATGCCTGTTGCAGGTTCTGCTCCATGTACTGGTTTAGCCGTGCATAACCCTTGACATAGTTGAAGGGCTTCAGCAGCCCTGCGTCGACCTTGGCCTTGAGTAGCTTGTTCATGCGTTCTTCAGGACTGTCTGATCCAGCAGGATCAGCGGCCGTGACAAGGTATCTCTCTCTTGCCTTGTCCGTAGGGACGCCGCCTGTTTGCCGTGATGCAGCATGGCCACCGACACTTTGCGCGGGAGGTGGAAGTAATTGCGACGGTCTTGACGCGTTCGAGGTAAAGGCAGAGTTGCTGTTCAGAGAGCCCATCTGATTCATGAGTGAGGCATCGGAAAAGAGGCTGTGGAAGTCATTGCCTCCGTAAAACGCACCGTCGTCCATGAGGCTGTTGTTGAGGAAGTCGTTGAGAAGGTTATACTCATTACTGACTTCGGAGGTGTTGAACATATATGAGGGGTGGAACTGCATGTCCTGAAGGTTGTTCTGAGACGAGGACAGCAAACCATCGTAGCCCAAGACTTCCGGCGCGTCAGTGACGACTACGACGGGGAGCTGAGAAGAAGTGTAACTTACAAGGCTGACTACCAGCTGTCAGGGCAGGTAATTGTGGCGCGGATACGGGTTCAGGCTGGGTACCTGACGTAGTGCTCGCATCCCTATTAGGAGGTACTGGGTGAGGCGCCAGGTTTAGCGCTGCATCCGGAACTGGAGGAGCGGCCGTCGATGCGGCATCGGAGGAAGTTGATTCGACCTGAGTGGGCTGACTCTGTCCATCGCCATTGTCTGGCTCGGACTTGGACTTTTTAACACCCTCACGCGGCTCATCGTGACATAGGTGCCCAATATTCCGCTTGACACAGCGTGTGCATGGTCGCTCCTAGATTGGGCGGGCTCAATCAGCTTGCGAACAGACGAGGCGATACTCAGTGCACTTACGAGGTCACAGGTCATGTGCTGATTGGTGTGTGTCAGCAAGCAGTAACAATTGTCTTACATGGAAATACATTGCATGTATCGAATGCTGGGGAATTGGCTGTGGCTCACCGAACGTCTGCAGTAGATGCATGCTGAAGGAAGGCATATAGGTTAGCAGGGTTGCGGATGCATTTGTGGGTACACAGCATCGATGGCTTACCATGATTTACTTTTCTACGCTTTTTGGGCGGTTTTGCGGACGCCTCGGAATTGGTCGCATCGGGCTTGCTCTTGGAGGGTGAATGGGTCTTGGGCGCAGTGTTTTCTGGAGAGACTTTGTCGTTGTCGGCTTCTAGTGGTTCCGTCATTTTGACTGGCGAAGCTCCATTTGATCGTCGTGCAGCTTCCGACATCAAGTGTGGGTAGTGGGTCGGTGTCAGAGCCGGGTGCTTTTCTTGGAGACGCGCAGGTTCATGTGTGTTACGACAGGGGTCTCGTCACGCACTCGAGCATCGAAAAGCGCGCAGAAGGTCGAGATGCGCCAGGAACACGTTCTTTGGTGGCACAGCAGGGCCCGTAGTCGCGGCAGACGAGTGGCGGAGAGGTGGTTTCAGAAGCACGAAGGGACAGGTGAATGTTCGCGGTCGCGTGCTTTGCCGAACCGAACCTTGGAAGGAAGAACCCGGAGAAGCGCAGGCCCAATCGCGGAGAAGTGCACCGCCCGCCCTCCTAGTGGGAATTTTGACAGCTTCCCGCTGCAATGCGGGTGATCGCGACGGGGCATTCAGATAGCGGCGCTTGACATGTTGTAGTTTGCACAAGTTTCGCATAGAAGGGCTGCAGCTGCAGAAGTGGCTCCGCTCTGCCGAAGCCCTGGTAGAGCCAATCACGCCCCTGCATTGCTACACTACATGATGGAGACGGCCGCGAACGCGCGCATTCCGAAGACCATACCGTCGGAACGCAGTTCTAAAACTGGGAGTATTTTGATAGACTTGAATGGTCTCGCTGCCCACTCCAGCCAGCCGCCACGCTGGACAGCCTGGTACGGGCCTTGCTAACCTAGCCCATGCCTCGCACAAAGCTTCCTTTAGAGTATTGAAATTACGCCGATGCCCTCCAACGCCATACACCTGCCTTGATATCGAACCCAGTACCGTATTCACCACACCTGCCCAGAGCCCGATCCATGCGCCGAGCCATGCGTGGCTATAGAAAGAACAAAAGTCATCATGGGACCTGCATATCGATACTTTGTATGGCAGCATATTGCGCTGCGCCAGCGTGCCTGAACAAGACGTCGTCTAGTACTGCTTGCGCATCGTTGACCGTCATATCGAGACCCTCGACCTGTGTATGGTTGCCCTGCATGCTCTCCAAGCTTCGTCGCAATTGGGCAAGCACTGGCGCAAGGTCGTCATCGGGCGCATCGAGAAGGGAGGAAGCTACTGGTTCTGATCGCTTCAGACGGATATCGTCAGGGCCGTCGCTGTGGGCTGTCGCATTGCCTTCGTCTTTGAGCAAGGGGTGGATCTACAGCAGGTTAGCAACACGTTCAGCTCGACTAGAATAGACAGACACGCACCCGTCCATGCTTCTTCTGGTGCTTCCACTCGGCTCTCCAATTCTTGACGTTCTTCTTCAGATCGTCCAGATTATCTTCGTCCTTCTTTAGCAAGTGCTGGGCAATCTTGACCTGCTCGCTGAGCAGCTGCTTGGAATGCCGGGCTGTCGTGACCTCTCGCGACACTTGGGCATTGCGCTCCGTGAGCTTGTCAATGTTGAAATGGATGTCTTTGGCCTGTGGGGGTATCCGCGACTCTGCTAGTTGGCGCGCTAGTTTGCGGACCAGGGGGTTGAGTGTGTTGTGTGCGGCCATGATCCTGCGCTCGTCTCGCTGCGTCTCGGCGATGTCCTTCTTCGCATTGCGTATCACCGTCGTGATCTGCTCCAGGACCTGAGGCGGCACTTGTGGCCATGTGTCTATTTGCTCCTGCGGTATTCTCTTCTTCTTGTTCTCCAGCTGCGCGTACTGTTTGCGCGACTCGGCTTCAGGTTCAGCGACTTCGTCCGACTTGCGCTTGCGGGGTCTCGAGGGCTGGGTTGGCGCGGGTTCAGTGATTGAGAGCTCATCTTCGACTTCTTCCTGGGCTGGCCTCTTCTTCGGTCTGCCCTTCTTCGCAGTTGTCGGCTTTGGTACGGGCTTCGACTTGGCCTTCACGACGGCGCCAGAATTGCGACTGCCCGGAGGACGGCCTCGCTTTTTCGTCGCTTTCGCATCCTTGGAGCGCGCAGGCGCCTGAACATGATTAGTATACGCGTATAACAGCGGATTGTTGATGCTTACCATGACGTTGTGGTGGAGATGGGACGCGACGGGTTAGTGTTGACATTCGCGTTGGTGGGGAAGGAGCCGGTTAGCGCGGCGCCTCTTCACGTGCGGTCCTTTTGGCCCTCGCACCTCCCTCCGCATCCACTCTCAACTCAACCGCCTGCCAAGTCTTCGACGATACACCTCGGTCCAACATCTCGGACGTAAGAATATAGCGTGAAAACGTGTCAGCATTCTGTCTCAACGTCACAGCTGCTACTACTTGCACATCTCTAAATCACCAATGGCTTGTTTCATTGCGTCCCTCTCAGACTGACACTGAGATATATACAATTGTCGCTATACTGATTTATACCCCCCTGTCGGCCACAGTCGCTCCCATCGTTGTCAGATCCCCTCAAACACGCACCATCGATCCACTAGAACGACTCAAACCACTCAGAACTGAGAGAAGAAGCTCCAAACCTCCTTGGGTGTGAAGCTCTGCGGCCCAACATCGTTACCGGCATCCCCAGGAAGCGCAACATGGTCACCATCGAAAGCAGTGTACTGCGTCGGGTACTTGCACCCATCGTACACCGTCTTGATGCGCTGTCTGCTGTTCTTGGCGGGCTCTGGTGCATTCTTCTGTTGGCATCCGTTCAGCCTCACGAAGCGGTCCCTGATCTCCCTTCCCATAGCGATGGGCAGGACGCTGTCCTTGACACCGTGCTGGCCGTAGTATGCAATGGGCGTGTTTCCGCCATTGCAGCCTGAAAGAGTTGCACCAGAGAGGACGGCGATGGCGCGGTACTCGTTCGCACGACTGCAGGCCAGACTGAAGCTCATAGCGCCACCATAGGAGAAACCGAGGGAGAAACGTTGCGTCTCGTCCACGCATAGGTCATCCTCAACTGCCTTTCGGACCGTGTCAAGGAAGGTGATGTCTTCGCCGTTCGTGTTTCCCCACCCCTTGTTGATACCATCGGGTGCGACGAAGATGGCAGTCTCGTTTGCCAAAGCCGCAAGGCCGTAGTATGGCGCGTTACCACCCGAGACGGATGTCATGTCGCCATTGAGCCAATGGAGACCGAAGATGAACTTGTATGGGTGGGAGTTGTCATAGTTGTTCGGGATTCGCAGCGTCCACTGACGTTGCTTGCCGTTTACCGTGACCCTCTGGACGCCGTTGGTCAGCCTTGGCGCCTTGCCACAACCCGCTGTGACAGCGGTAGCCTGATCGAGGAGTGCGAGGAACAATAGAGCGCCAAGTGCGAAGAAAGAGGTTGGATGGAACATTGTCATGGATCCCTAGGATTGAAGGTTGCGATGGTCTTCCTTCGGTCTCGAAGCGGACGTTTAAGTACGTTTTCGCATTTCACCTTCAACCTCACCATAAGTCCCATACTTGCGACTTCATCAGTCGATCTCTTGGTATACTACGGAGCTATCACCCATTCCAACTGCCGTACGAGAACACCAAGACTTCTATACAACCTCGAGAGAGTCATTCCCCTTGCTTCTGATTTTAGGCCCAATCGACACAGTCCAAGTCGCATTTTCACCGTCTCCTGGCACTTCAAGTAAATGATGCCAAGAAGAAGAAACTCGCCAAGGACGAGGACTTCACGGCACTTGTTCGGAAACTTAACAGGTGACATCCTTCTGTGGAGCACTGCTGCATCATGCAAGGTGACGAGCAGACCCCATGGGGTACATACTTACCTAAGACGCTGCAGAGCGCCGACTTACGCCATCATGTCGCTCGGATATGCTAACCGACTGTTGGACTGCTTGAGAAAATCGTTGCCAGATTCGGGGTCTTGCATGTGTTGCTATTCATGCAGCAATATCTCCACTTTCCGATCCTTCATGAGGTTCGTGGAAGAAAGTCTTAAGAGCCGCGGCTGTTTGCACTTGCAGCACCCCAACTTTCAGTTTAGCCCCAGAGCTTGATACAACCTTCCCTTTGAGTGAGTACGCCGTGTCTAGAAACCTGGGCGAGGCCATCACATGCTCAGTTTTGTCCGATTGGTGGCTGTAACATCCAAAGAAGAGACAGCAGTTATACTGATTGCAACTCCACAAAAGCTGCCATGATGTTTCAGTCACCCACGACAACTGAAAGCTCCCAAAACCTCTGACAGCTATGAACACTGTTGTTGAACTCGCTTCACAAGTTTAGGCACACTCATCAACCGACGAACATAGCCGGAGTATGTACAGCGACTCCACACCCGACTTACCCGTCGAGACACAGCCAGATCTTGACAAACACTGTATACCCCTCACGAAAAAGACTCATGCAGAGCAGCAACTGGCAAGCAAGGTAAGGACGTACGACCTTCATCCACCGGCAAAAAAGGCCCCATGGGGAACCGACAAGATGATCGACGGCCCGCCGGGTATAATCCCCACTGCTCGTACCAACGTTGAACTACGCATAGCTTCTTGAGGGTAAGCTTTGTCGAATATGATGACGCGCATCTGTAGCCGAAGGAAGAGATGAGCCTGTGGCGTCAACGATGAAGTGTAGATACTTAAGCTGAAGGTACGATCGATCGATTGAACCCCAGCATCAATCAAACGTCTCTCCTGGTACCGCAATTGGAAGGTGTTTCAAGATGTTGTTCAACATCCTAGCGGCCACAGCGGCCCTAACGCACACAGCTATAGCCCACCCATACCAACCATCCTGCAACATCTCCACCCCGCAACCCTGGGGCTTCTTCACAAACAACACCATCTACCAAACCACGGGCAACGAATCAATCACCTACCCCCGCTATACCGAACTCCAAGACGGAACCATCATAGCCACCGCCTCCCTCTCCGGCCACAACCCAAACTACTTCCCTATCTTCGAGTCGAAAGACGGCGGCGCGTCTTGGGAACATGTATCTGATCTGCACGACACAGTCAACGGATGGGGTTTCAGCGCCCAGCCCGCGTTGACCGAATTGACAGAGCCAATGGGTGGCTACGAAGCTGGAACCATCCTCGGTGGAGGAAACAGCTGGAGCAACAACGGAACTCGCATCGATCTATACGCCAGCACGGATGGAGCGCGGACCTGGGAGTTTGTAAGCCATGTCGCTGAGGGCGGACGTCCAAACACCACCAACGGCGCGACTCCGATCTGGGAACCTTACTTTCTGTACGTCAAGTCCACCCATCTTCCCTCCCACCACTTCTCCCATATGCATACTAACACCACCCTTCCAGCCAATATAAAGGCGAACTAATAGCCTACTACTCCGACCAACGCGACCCGCTCCACGGCCAAAAGCTCGCCCACCAAACCAGCACCGACCTCCGCACCTGGGGCCCCGTCGTCAACGACGTCGTCTACGACGAATACCTCGCCCGCCCGGGCATGACAGTCGTAGCGTACATCCCGCCGCTCGACCAATGGATCCTCGTTCACGAACTGCCCATCGGAAACTCGAGCTCGTACGGGCAGAACTATCCTGTGTATTACGTCATGGCTGATGAGCCGACGAACTTCCGTAATTCAGTCGGTAGACCGATTGTTGTTAATAATGCTACGGTGCCGAATGCGAGTCCGTATGTGGTTTGGAGCCCGTTGGGCGGACCTAATGGTACTATTATTGTGAGTGATGCGGATAGGCGGCAGGTTTATACAAACAGTGCTGGGGGTGCGATTGATAAGTGGGAGGAACATATGACGCCCGCGGGTGCGGTATATAGTAGGGCGATTCAGATATTCGCGAAGAGGCCGAATCATCTTTTGGTTTATGGGGGCGAGACGTATGATGGGCGGGCGGAGGGGTTGCATACGCCGTTTAGTGCGACGGTGGTGAGGTTGGATGAGGTGCTTAAGGCGCCTGCGACGGAGGAGTAGGGGATATAGGAGGAGGAGAGAAGGGGAAAAGGAAAAAAGGGACCGGGATGGGATGTGGTATGCTAGATTCGAAAATGTATAAGAAGATAGTGTACATATGAAGAAATCGACCCTCGGCCCCAGGCCTTGGCGTCATGTACCGAAATAAACGCATTGATATGGTGAGAAGTTTCCGCGTTCCCTTCACTCGGACGCTGATGCTTCTGCCTCTGACTCCTCCACCTCCGCATCGCTAACCACATCACTCAACACATCGCTCTCCGCGTCACTCAGTCCGCTACTCATTGCATCACTCTCATACTCATCCACAACCTTCTTCTTGCCCTTGGCCTTCTTTGCGCTACCTCCCTTAACAGGACTACCACCACCCTCCTTCCTCCCACCAGTCCTCTGTACAAGATGATCAATCGGACACCCCTCATCCCATCCTTCACTGCTCTCTCCCGTTATCGCGCGACACCTCGGACAGCTCTTTCCGTGTTTGATGAGCAATTGGTGAAGCGGGTATTTGAGGTGATCCGGCACTCTGACTTCGCAGTGCGCGTACGTTGAGTTCCGGTTTGCGCCTGCGAAGGTACCTTTTGCGCCGGGTGCAAGGCCTGTGGGATCGCCTGGGGGAGGTACCCAACCTAGCCATTTACACAGGCGGAAGACGTGGGTGTCTACGGCGAAGGAGGGGCGTTGGAGGCAGAAGAGGAGGACGCAGGATGCGGTTTTGGGGCCGATGCCGGGGTACTTTGTTAGTGCGTTGAAGGCGTCGTCGTTGGAGAGGAGGTGCAGGTGGTCGAGTGAGACGATGTTCTGATCTGCCTTCTCGACCTCTGCGTGTTTCTCGCCTTCGGCCTCGTTCGCGGAGCCAGGGGCTTTGTCTGATGAAGACAACAGCTCGTCGCGTCGCGCTTGGTTCTCTTCCCAGACCATTTGCAGGATCTTCTTGATGTCTTTGCTCTTCACGTCTGCGAGTCCGCCGCTCTTGATCGCCTCGAAGATCTCCTTCTGATCTGCTTGTCGTACTTTGTTCCAATCTACACTGCCTTTGCCAACGCCTTCTTTCAGGATGCCGAACTTCGCGACGAGACCAGCGAATGCGCGAGATGAGTTGGTGCCGGACGTCGCTGCCGATAGACGTGTTCGAATGAGGGCATCGAGGACGGATGGCACTTCTCCACAACCGGAAACTTCAAGAGAGGGCGCGGGAATGGTCTTGGGGGCTTCGACCTTGCCGTGGACTTTGGAAAGGAGACGCGTCACCTCTTCGCATTCTTCGGCCGTAGGATGAGGGTAGTTTGGATATGGTGTCTGGCCTGGAGTGAGGCCATAGCCCCCTGTCTTGGCCTTGCTCTTTTTCTTGGGTGACGCGTCGGTGGTGGTAGTCGCTTTGGCAACGAGGTCCCCGACTTCCTCTTTCTTCGGTTTCGCTGTCTTTGCAGACCTCCTAGGCTTCTTGGCTGAGGGCTTACTCTCTTCCTCCTCGCTCTTGACTGGGAGGGAAGGAATAGCACCAAGATTGTGTGGGAGTTCGTTGATATCCTCCTGTTTCACGGCCGACTTCTTTGCGCGTTTGGTGCTCTTTGGTGTGACGGGCGCTTTCTTGGAAGTCGCGTCTGGCGACTCTTCGACCTTGACTGCTTTCCTCTTTCGTCCATTGCGCGCCTCTGGGGTAGTCGGTGGACTCGACAATTGTACTGGTTCTTGGCCAATGGATGGCGCTTGCACGGCATCAGCCCTGGCGGAGCTCCTGGTTGCTCGTGCCATGCTTGGTATAGTGGAGATGGCAAGTCGATTCGATGAGATCGTCAACGGGCTTGGGCGCAATGCCAGCAGTCGCTTATAAGGAAGTTTGAATGCAATGGTGAGGAGACGTGCTAGGCAAACGAATTGGAGACGGGTAATAGAAAAGGATAACTTGAGGTATCTCGTGAGCTACAAACCTCGACAGGTGAAGGGTGAGTGGCCGGAAAGGGGAAACTACGCGTGAATGGTGAAGGCAGGTATCATGACGTCGATGACGATGATTGGAGCTTTGGCCCTTGTCCCTGCCTTAGCGCGCATGACGAGGACGCGCCGAGGTCCACTTTGTCGGGAGTCCGTCACCTCTGATCAGAGCTACCCCACGTCTATCGATACTATCGATACCTCTTGAACGCGTTCAGACCAAGCTCATCATGGCTCACAAGGCGCCGTTGGTTGTTCCCGCGCTCAAGCGACACACGGCCACTGTTATCGTGGCGCATGGACTGGGTGACAGCGGGGCTGGCTGGTAAGGAGACTCAATGTTATGCATGTGTTTATCTAACCATCGTAGGATATTCCTCGCGGAAAACTGGCGCAGACGTAGCAAGTTCGAGGAAGTCTCCTTCATCTTCCCCAATGCGCCCAACATCCCGATCACGCTGGTTCGTTGACCAAGTCCGACGCAAGCACACGGCATATCGCTGATACGCGACACAGAACATGGGCATGAGCATGCCAGGATGGTACGACATCAAGTCGCTCAGCACGCTAGACGACCGCGACGAAGACGAAAAGGGCATCGTCGAGTCCCAGAAATACTTCCACTCCCTTATCGACCAAGAGGTCGCAAAGGGCATACCCGCCAATCGCGTAGTCGTTGGAGGCTTCTCGCAAGGAGGCGCCATGTCACTGCTGTCCGGTGTGACGTACAAGGAGCAGCTTGGAGGTATCTTTGGCCTGAGCTGCTACCTCCTGCTGCAGAAGAAGATCAAGGACATGATCCCGACCGAGAACCCCAACCAGAAGACGCCCATCTTCATGGGCCACGGCGACGCTGACCAAGTAGTCGCGCACAAGTGGGGCAAGCTGAGCGCAGAAGAGCTCGAGAAGCACGGTTTCAAGGTCGACTTTAGGACTTACAAGTACGTCAGCTGTATGGGGTGATGAGAAGATTACTGACAATGCGCAGGAACTTGGTGCATTCCGCCGACCCAGATGAGATCGATCACCTCGAGTCCTACCTCAACCAGCAAATACCTGCTCTAGGCGACAAGTCAGAGCTCTGACTCTCTCACTCGACCCCGATCGTGTCGACTGAAGCGACGACAGCCCTGGTGCTTGTAATTACACTTGCCATTGCTTGGTTTGCGTGGTATAAGCGTGATGCTGTACTAAAGCCGCATGATGAGACGGAGTGGCATGGAGATTATTAGGTTGCTACAATGTTTGGAGACATACAGTAGAATGACTTGACATAATGTTTACACGAACTGTAGCATTTCTTCATGTTCTGGCTTTATAGTTGCGTTGATCAGACTGCTTCATAGGCCCAGCTCTAGCCGTATGCTCATGTCTGCCACTTCGTTATGACCTTGACGTAACCCCGTATCATAGACCAAATACCAAATACATTTACCCCGCCTTCATCTCTTCATATCAGTCATACTCTTCGTTTGTCCCGCTAGCCTCATGTTCGTTGGTGATGGGTGGGGCGACGAACAAATTTTGCAAACCTCACCACCACAACCCCAATCACTAACAATCTATCTGTTCTAACTCATCAGTCTTCCATCAATTTCCGATATGGTCTAGTGGCTAGGATTTGCCGCTCTCATCTCGCAGAGTCAGTTCACTGTACAGTGCCGGCAAGGCCCGGGTTCGGTAAGTTCGCATCGCAGCAACATGACTTCGAAGCATGGTTCTAACAATTAATCAGATTCCCGGTGTCGGAAAATTCCTTCTTTTTGCTGAATCTTGGGTAAAGAGGGAGGGGTGTTGAGGCATGGCATGAGGGGCCAAGGTGGAGATGCTGGGTTGAGTTCTTGGATGGGCATGTGCGCTGGAATGTACCGCCGTCGAAGAACTTTAAAAGCATAAGGCCGCGTGTAAGAAGGTGAGATTCATTTTGTTTTGTATTGCACTGAGCGGAGGGATTTGGTATCACGAATGCGGTGTGCAAGTAGGTTTTATTGCTGGAGATACTTGCAGACCTCTGCCTGTATACATCCGTGATGTGGTGCTTACCGCATCTAAGAGATGCGGCTCTGTGCCTCGGCTACGATGCTCCTACCACAATATTACAGTACCGCGACTTCAATCCATCATCCCACTTTTGTCGTGACACTGCATCTCGTGCGCTCCTGCCGCGCGTATTCAATGACGCGCGCACTTTCCAGTCCATCTAAGGAGACTACCAAGCATCGCATTGCTCACCTAAGCCCAGCAACTCTGCTTTTTCTTCATGCCGAGCTTCTGCAACTCCATCTCGATGCGGCCTCCTATCGATAGCTATATTTGGAGCTCGCTACCAGCTACACTCGGCCAACGTCCCAGTCAGGCGTCCAACAACGTCACAAAATGCCAACGGGTTGCACGGGCTGGGCCATTCGTACGGACTGTCCAACATTACAGCTGGGACTCGCCTGCCTGCTAAGCTCACGCCTCAAAGCTTTGTACCACTGCAGAGGAAGGAGAGTCAGGGGTTGCGTCGAGTCCGGCCCAGCTAGTCAGCAATTAGCGAGATGCTTGATTCCTTAGGGCTGATCCCCTCGACTGTTCCCACTCGTCGCAAATCTTCCCAACCCGCCGTCTGGTTCGCATAGAAAGTAACTCTTTTTCGCGTTCAACGGTTAACGAGAATTGGGTTTCCATGACGCTGTCGTTCGGCGACGATCCAGTAGATCTTCCGCGACATAACGATCAACAAGCGAACCCGCAATCACGATGTAATCACCTTAAACCTCGTGTGAGTGAGATGCCGGCCTTCCCGATCAGTCTGGCCGAAACTTGCCATTGGTAAATTTCCGAACCTGCACGCTTTGGGGAGACGTCGCATCCGTGCGTTCAGGCACGAGCGGCCGTATTTGACATGCGCCTCAGCGCTGGCGGTCTCGTAGCGCGGGCCTAGGGCTTGCGGACAGCGTCAGTCCATGTGGAGATGTACGAGCGCGGTAGGGCGGGCGGTGTTTATTGGGTGCGTGGGCCATGGGTCAATACGAGAGGGGCTGTTGTTAAAGAGCTGAGCTCGCTGCTATCTGTGGGTTTCGTTTCTTCACTATCTATCGTCAAGGTCGTTTGTCTATTTCACGCATCTTTTCGTCGACTCTTTATCGTTTCGACAGTCCACTCGCTTTCTACACGTCAATTATTTCGACATAGAATAATCTTAATCAAGATGCGCTTCTCAGCTTTCGCCATCCTCTCGCTGGTCTCGGTTGCCTTTGCTGGTAACTGCGGACCTCAGAATGGAAACGCCAAGTGCGCTGCCAACGAGTGCTGTAAGTCTACAATACCCTCGTATCTCTGAATTCTTACTAATAATGCATCACAGGCTCCCAGTACGGCTGGTGCGGAACCACCCCCGCCCACTGCGACGCAAAGAACTGCATGCACCCCTTCTCCGGCGCCTCCTCATCCTGCAAGCCCACCCCAACCACGATGAAGACCTCCGCAACCAAGCAAGCCACCTCGCCCGCAACCACCTTCCCCACCGCCGTCCCCGAGATCGACGTCTGCGGCCACGCCCAAGGCGGCGTCACCTGCCCCGGCGCCGGCGCAAACGGCTTCTTCTACCGCTGCTGCTCGTCCGCCGGCCACTGCGGCCCCAAGAACGATATTCAAGACCAGAACCTCTACTGCGGCGACGGCTGCCAGGCTGGCTTCGGAAAGTGCGACAACCAGAAGGCGCCTGCTGAGCCTACTGCGCCCAAGGGTACTTCGGGTGAGGGAGAGACGTGCGGTCCTATTGTCAACAAGAAGTGTGGTAACAACCTCTGCTGCTCGGGATCTAACTTCTGTGGCTCCGGTGAGGACTTCTGCGGAAAGGCCAACTGGTGCCAGAGTAAGTGGGGAAGGTGCAACTAAGATGTTGGATATCAACATGGGTTGGAGTAGAGAAGTTGGGCGTAGAATAGAGTTACGAGTACAAGAGTCTCTGGGACAATAAAAAGACATGAGAACGAAAGATCATTCGCATATGTGAACATTACGTTGCCGTCTTTTCACAAACGGATCCTCCCTCAACGCTATGCTAGGCGCGGAAGAAGTTCACCAACCCCCTTTACATGATGCTAGAGATAGTCAAGATGAAGGAGTTCGATTGCTGGTGGGCAAGGTTCAATGGACTCGCGTGCTCTTACTGATAAACAGCTGCTAGAGTTAGGCAAGGTCAGAAGATGAACGCGTGAGAGGATATCGTGCTGATAAAGCGGATATGGCTTCTTTACCAAGCAGGCTACAATCGAGCGTTTTTCCACGCGAGGGACCAGATTGATAACGTATTCGGGATTGCGCCGCTGTTGTGTCAGTGGTAAGTACATCCTCGTATTCTGATGACAGGATGAGGAAGTTATTTACCGGATGTTCGACACGAAGGCTTCCTAGACTAGACATCGAAGTAATCGCAATCTTCTACCGCGATATGCCACCACCGTCCTCAGAAGCTACATACATAGGCGACGCATACCTCGCCTGTAGTTATGCCTAGCTCATAGAAAGCAAATACGCATGTCGTCTTCAGTGCGGAAACTTACTGTGTTTTGAATGTCCGACGCAACATGTGCACTCCAGCGCTGGTACATATTGCCAACCCATACTCCATAGGGCTTGGTGGAAGCGTGAGAGGGATGTTTGATTTGATCCTTGAGGTGTCTACCTGGGCACTGTCTCATGCGCTCTGAGCTTTGTGGCAGCTTCTAGACATGACTAATGAGATACGATGGCATCAATGCGTTTACAGTTCTCATGAGAAATAAGACGTAATATGTAGACTTCGAAAGTAAGATTACCTGGGTAGTGAAGCAGACGCGAAAGAAGTGGATATGGCAGTATCTTGTGCATGACTTATTCCTCCTAGCTAACACCACACGTACTCAGCACCGACATCTCTTTCATAGAACGCTCTAGCATATGGCATCGATCCAAGGAATCATGTGAGATTCTCACGAAGAGAACGTGACAAGGCGGTAACGTTGGCGGTTGAACTGCGGCTGAGGCGGATGACGTTAGCGCCTCCTCGGGGCGAACAGCAACAAAGCCGAGAACGTGTCATAGCGCGGCTTTCACATGATGGCAGCGCACGCACGCTTCCTCCACAAACCTGTCACATGCTCGACGCTCACCCAACCACACAGCCTCAAACCAGCTAATGCGCCGCCGCTTGTCGACGGGCTGAACGGCTATTCCTGTAGTCATGGACAAACCACGCAGGACGGCTGACCTGGCCTTCCCCCATTTCCACGCCTTTCCCCGTTACCCCAGACGGATCCACACCGGGTTTGACATTGCGACGTGACATTCACATGCTTACGAATTACAACACACGCATTACCGACATCGTAAGCCCGGCGACACCACGTGGAGACCCGACTTGACGCCTTTCATGACGCACAAAAGACCTGCGACTGTATTCACTGGGTTCGATATAGCTGTTTGTGCTGGGAGAGAGGTACAGTCATGATAGACCATGTATTGGGACGGCCGTCGGTACAGTTCAGGAAGATACAAGTACTGGCTGTAGTATCCTTTTGGTCCTTCTACCTCTACAGGTAAGCCTACGCAAACATCCTCAAACCAACCATTGTATACTAACAACCACACAGAGGGGACCGCCATGGTCCACCGATCCTCCGCCGCGTATCCGCCCTCCTCTCCAAGAAACTCACCGTCTGGCAATCCGTCCTCATAACACTGCTGTACCTCTACGTCGCCCGCAACTTCGGCAAGCTCGTTGGCCTTGAGTGTCCCGAGCCACTCGCAAGCCTGTACTCGCGTTCATACTTCCGTGCGACATGGGTTACGACCGCACTGGACGCAGGCTTCTGGTCTGCTATGCGAATAAAACGGAAAGGAGTGAGGGATTTACTGTCGATTGTCTTCAGCATATACTACATGATCTGTGCTGAGCAGGCGGATGAGAAAGTCAGGAAGATCAGAGCGACGCTCACAGTGGACCATCTACGCGTGGCATGGAACAAAGGAACGACACCGTATCTGGGTGCGCTGACGAGCATGATGCGGCCGAGGTTGATGGTTTATCCGCCGCGCCAGATTCGCATACCACGACCGAGAGCTAGTTCGTACAGAGAGCCAGTAACAGGTTGGCTGTACTTCAACGGACCGCGGAGTGCATTGAAGAAGCAAGACAAAGTTGTCTTGGATATCCCCGGGGGTGGTTTTGTTGCTATGAACCCAAGGAATCACGATGATAAGCTCATGGGCTGGGCTGGCAAGACGGGACTGCCTGTTCTCAGTCTGGACTACAAGAAGGCGCCTGAACATCCGTATCCATATGCGCTCAACGAATGCTACGACGTCTACCACATGATCATCGCGTCGAGAGGAACTTGCATGGGCCTGTCAGGAGAAGCAGAGCCCAAGGTGGTAGTCTCAGGCGATTCAGCTGGTGGGAACTTGGCTGTGGCCATGATACTCATGATTCTTCAGAGTGGTTCCACCGAGACACGAAGATGGCAGGGCGAATCCCCTATACCACCTCCCATCGGCGTGGTGCTGATCTACCCAGCGCTCGACATGAACATTGGCAATTGGATGACGGACGAGCAAATGGCCCTCATCCGCGACCGACGCGTGAGAAAGACAAATCGACCTATCTTACGGCATAAGAGCGACGACTACCGACAACTCGCACCGAACACACCGTATGGCTCTGATGATTCGGATAGTGAGGACGAGCGCACCAAAGTAAGCATGGTCAATGGATCTATGCCCAAAACCAACGACGGCGACATTACGTCTCCCCAGACCATGATCAAACTCTCCGCCGCACACACAGGCCAGGATAGCAGTACCGCAACTTTCCAGCAACCTCTCAGCCAGAAATCAAGTCTCCCACCAACACCTCTCGCGACTCAACCTCCCACCCCGGGTGCCGCTGCCCTCCCTGCACCACCCGCCACAGCCATCAAAACCCGCCTCGCAATGTCCAGCATGATATCCTACTTCAACGACCGCATTCTCACCCCCGAAATGATGCGCGCCATGATCATCCTCTACATCGGCCCGCACCACCGTCCAGATTTCAGCACCGACTACCTCCTGTCCCCGCTCCTAGCACCAGAATCTCTCCTAGCGAAGTTCCCACGCACATGGATGTTGACAGGCGAGCGCGACCCCCTGGTCGATGACACTGTCATTTTCGCAGGCAGATTACGTCAGGCGAAACGCGCAGAATGGGTTGCAGCGAAAGAGTTGGGTCTAGATTGGGCACGAGGCAGTTTCAACGAGGAGGATAGCGTCGTGGTCGATCTCGTCCCCGGTATAAGCCACGGTTTCCTCCAATTCGTCGGCGTATTCCCCGAAGGCTGGAAGTATATTTTCAAATGCGGAAAATGGATTACCGAGGCTTTTGAAGAAACGGACTCAAGAAGATATGGGTACGATGCCGAGACACCGGGGTACACGCCTGCCGCGGGCACGGCTACAAGGAGAAGAGAGGGAGGCGATTACTTCGGTACAATAGGCCTTGCGGATGCTATTGATGGTCTTACGAGTCCGAGGTTTAGCCGCAGGAGACATCATAGGAGGTCTGGCACGGCGAGTTCGGCTGATGAGGATAGACCCTTGGAGATGACGGTGCTGGGGAAGGGGAAGAGGAGTCCGCAGAAGGATGGGGGTGAAGGTGTGGCTGGTGGGAGAGGGGCTGGAAGGGAGAGGGGTAGGATGAAGAGTGATAGGGGGAGGAGGAAGAGTTTGGTTAGTTTGGCGAGTGAGGATGATTTGTTGGGGAGGAGGATGAAGAGTTTGACGGGGGCGTTGGGGGGTGATGGGGGGATTTGATGAGTGTGTCGATGGGTTAGCGAGCATATATATGGTATTTACATGTTTAGTTCTTGAATAGAGAGGTACTTGTTTCAAGGGTGGGTTTGGTATTCGTGGATTTCGTGGTCTGCTAACTCATGACAAGGACATCGAAACATCCGAGGTGGTGGGTCAAGACGGGGACATCAATATCAAAGATATGCGGTATACTGTTTGCAGACAGGTACCCGATCATCCTGGAACGATGTCCTGCGCTGAGATATCAATCCGCCGTGCACAGTCTTGCTGTGCCGCAATCACGATAACACCGGTGATTCGTCGACAAGTCACACAAGCGCTATGAAAGGACCGATCCTTGCTCCGTCACGCGCATTTCGCTGCGGGTTCGTGTATCTCTGGCCTATCGTAAAGCTGAACAGTTCCAAGCTCATACACTGGAATATCTCAAGGTTTTCTACCCTGGCAGCATTTTTTCGGGATGACTTGTCTTGCTGCAAGGGACCGCCGTCACAGTACGACTAATACGACCTTAGCTTTGTACCTCACCATTCGGCCTGGTAACTCGCGTTCGGTCCTGGTTCCCTTACACCGACCAGCTGAGAGCCCCTTTTATTCATCTACGCCATCATGCCGACAGATTGCGTGTCCTCAAGCTCTACGCGGTCGCTTCAGCTTGAACCGAAGGGCGACCGTATTTCTAAGCGACAAGTCGACTCGATTATCTCTCAGATAACATCTGAAGTTGGCGGTGTACCATCCGATACCCCAGAATACGTGGACACATCAGTATTTACAGCACCCCCCGCGGCTCTATCGACGCAGGTAATCGTCTCCACGGTGACGCCGACTGCTTACGGTGGAATACCTGATGTCGTTACAGTCATCAAAACTTTTACACCTTCAGAAACCCCTCTCCCATCCGAAACTGGGTCGACTGCTTCTTCGGTAGCTTCTGAGCTGGTACCTCCCAGCTCAACCGCAAGCTCGCCGATCTCGAGCACGGAAAGCAGCGACGGCGCGTCAGCCACACAGTCATCAGACGGCAATGAGCCGACAGCGGCGTCACAGGACAACGGCAGCGGTAGTTCAGGGCTAGGAGGCGGCGCAATCGCTGGAATAGCTATTGCAGCTGTCCTCGTTATCGCGGTCATCGGTGGCTGGTTCTTCTGGCGGCGGAGGAAACGCATAAGAGCGAAGCCTACAAGCACTGAAATTACTGCGCACATCGCAGGAAACGGAGACGGAGCCGGAGAAAGAGGCATACCAGAGCTCGATACAAAAGAGCGGCCGCAAGAAATGCCGGGAAGTCATCAAGTACAATCACAAGAGCTGGATCCCACGCAGTACACCAAATACGCGATGAATGGATCTCATGAGCTCAAGACCGAGCCTGAGTCGGCTGAGCTGTTGAACGGCCCGGACGAACATACAGCGCCAGTGCCTTATCACGTTCAGCAAACACCCGCTGATGAAACAACGGAGATTAGGGACACGACTGAGGCAACGAGTGATTCGTTGTCATCTAACGTTGAAGCGCAACGGCGAAGAGAGATGGAATGGCTAGAAATGGAGGGGGAAAGGATACGGAAGCGGCGCGAATTACTTGCGGCGCAAGGAAGTGCGAAGAGTTGATCGTACCGGCACGGCAAAACCTTTACTTTCCCGATTTCGAAAGAAACTCGAGCATAAAGCAGAATCATAAGGATGTCTTTCTATATGCCAAGACCAGAGAGTCTCATCCATTACAATCTGCCGAAGCCTCTGACCGGGTCAACAGCAACCAACACATTCCTGCGACCCAAACTGCGACCTCTATACCCACCACTCTACCACATGCATTGGAATGACGATACAACCTTGACCGTACCGGTACACAGCATGTTCTCGTCGAATGAGAAGTTGGTCCTTCATGCACAGCCTTGCTCGCTTGACTGTGCCGCAAACACCATCTCCGCGTTTGATTCGACGGAACGTCACAAGACCTGTGTGGAAGGGCCGATGCATGACTTTCAACGTGTAGGTAGGTGGGTACCTTTGTATCTTTGACCTATCGCATAGAGGGCATGCTCGTGGCGATGTGCAGCAGTGTGTGGAGGTACCCCGCCCGCCTGCGATGATGTATACATGCTAGGAAGTCCTGCTAGACACGGGTTTATCTGCCCCTCTGCCTTGACATTTGTACGAGGTTGTGCTTCGATATCTCACATCAGGCTACATACACCTACCCAGCTCTTTGCCGTCGCACGCACTATCCCGCAATGTCCGACTCACCAACTAACACATACGCCTGGTACGTCGAGGAGTGGTATTCTGCCACTGGGGGCTACCTAACTACCATATATCTCTCAGACAGCGCAGACGATTGGTCAACCACTCTGAACGCGATAGTCGCAACAAACTCGCCGCGCGGTGTCAGGCTGCCCGGAGATACGCACTTTGCAACGGTTGGAGAAACCCACGTTTTCAATGGTATTGAGATTTCGGTTACGACAGATCCGGATCAGATATACCTTCGCCGCAGTCCGATCACGTCAGAGTCAAGCGTTGTGGAACAAACGTTGATACCACCGGCAGAAATTCCAAGACCAACTTCCACTAGCTCAGGCAGCTCAAGCTCAGAGAGTAGCGCGAGTGAAATACAGTCTGGAGGTAGCAGTCAATCTACCGCAACCGCATCCGCCAACGAAAGCAGCAGCCCAAGTCTAGGAGGCGGTGCGATCGCCGGAATAGCTATCGGCGGCATACTCGTCCTTGCTCTCATAATCGGAGGATGGTTTTTCTGGCGACGAAGACAACGTTCGAAAGCAAAGACTTCAGGTTCGGGCGACGATGAACAGGGCACGAGAGTCGTAAGCACTGGAGGGCCACCGCCACAGTACTCTCCGCCGGAGAAACAACCATATATTCCAGATCATCATCAGGAAATGCCGGGCGATATAGTCATGCCAGCGCAAGAGTTGGATCCAATTCAGTCCGCCAAATATGCGACGCATGCAGCACGGCATTCTACGAGTAAAGCAGCGTATCAGTATGAGCCGGCGTATGAGCTTCATCCTGATGGTAGACCAGCGGAATTATCGCACGGCGGGGAGGAACAAATCTCGGCAGTACACACTCACAGGCCTCAAACACCAGTAAACCAGACCGACGCTGGTGGAGAAGCTGGAGAAAGGAGTGCTGCGGTGTCACCGAATGTAGAGGCACAGAGACGACGTGAAATGGAGTGGTTAGATATGGAGGAGGAGAGGATACGGAAGAAGAGGGAGACGCTTTCTATGCAAGCGAGCGGGAAGAGTCCATAACGTCTTTGTGATTTTGATGGCACTTGTTTAGCACACTCCATTCTAATATAATTTCTAGTTCGAACAATTGAAGCGCAGGATTGTGAGGCACGGGCGACACGCACTAGGCCCAAAGCATCGAACGTCATGTGTGATGTTGGCCGCATGTTCGGCCTGAAGGACATCGAATCAGTGCGCAGCCGCATATGGAGAATTGGGGGCCAGAAAAAGCTGATTGGACAACGCGATCATGGAACTGGCTGCGGCACGGTGACCTCTACAAACAGTTGCCATGAATTGTTGAAGAGCAACAAGCGCATCTAGCGCCGAAAGCTACCTGCTTCTACTGTACAGCCCTTCTCTATTACAACCGTAAAGTATGGCTGACATCTAGTCCATATGTTGTGTACAGCAAGCTGCATTCTTGCCCGTTGGTTCAATTACATAGAGTTGGAGGACGAGACTGTCCAGCGAATGAACGGCATGCGCAGTCAGTATCGCATATTACCAGTGCTCAGAAGAGTAACGGCTTAGCTAGATTCGGCGCTCAAATCTATCCCTGGACCTGGGTTTAGACCGATGAGTTCAACCACGCCACAATAGAACAATCCAAGCCTCGTTCAGGCTGTATACAGGTACGCTGAGGCCCTGATAAGGGAATATATCCTAGATGGTCCTACATCAAAGCAAAGACCTGCTTTGTTACTGTATATTTCCACTTTTAGAGTCTTCAACTCGTGCAGTCGCACGTTAATTGAAGTATATTGTTTGAGCAGCGTCTCGGTAGCAACAGCCAGAATACTGCAGACACGTTGACCATGTCTACATCAGCATGGCAAACCGCACGGATCAACACCAACACTGACGATCCGTATACGACGACTCTGCGCAAAGACGATATCCCGCTAGCAACAATCACAGTACACATAACACCAACGCTTGAACTTCGGTTCCCAGAAGCCCCACCGCTACAAACAAGCTCCACCATGACATCAGGTCTTATTTACATCTCCCTCCGAGGCGAAGACGATGGAATGGCGATTCTGTACTCGACTCGTACGGACTTTTCATACTCACGAAGTTTAGCATTGGCAAAGTCGAAATCACTGAGCCTGCCATCTTCAACGAGAACTGGAGATCCGATCGCGTCCAAGTCGCCTCGTCCTAATCGAACCTCACGCCGTAAACATACCTCAAGCGGCACCATTGCCGGTATAGCAGTAGGAGGTGTACTCCTCCTCGTGTTCATCATAGGTGGCTGGGCCTTCTGGCGTCGGAAAAGACGCGCAAAGTCTGCTACAAGCAAGAACGCGCCTGAGTCCGAAGGGCAAGTGGCACGAGATGATGAGAAGATACTCCCCGATAAGCCCATAGCCGGCGCGCATCCGGAGTTGTCTGGCGACAGCCAAGTGCAAGAGCCTCTTCCTTCGCACTCATCCAAATGGGTGGCGCATGAGCTTAAATCTGATGATATACCGGGAGAACTACCGCATGCCGTAGTGGGTAGAACGAACGACGATGGGAAAATGAGGGTGTCAGCTGCGGCCGCGGCAAAAGACGACACCGCCTCGCATGTCTCGGCACATATAGAAGCGCAAAGGAAGAGAGAGGTGTAATGGCTGAAGATGGAACAAGAGAGAACATGGAAAAGACAGGAGACGCTTTTGATGCAAGGGGTGGGAGGGCTGATGAGAGAAGAGAGCATGAATGAATGATGTTGCGAGGTGAGCGAAGGAGATGGACGACATGGTCTATGTCTGGCGCACATCGAGAAAATTTTCAAGGTTTAACAGAGCAGTTATGGAACTGGCAGCGGGACGGTGGTTTGATTTGGAGATGTAGGAATGCTGCGATGTTTGTTGGCGGAGACTGTTGGGCGCAGTTGCCGAGCTTAGCAAATACGGCAGGCAGACTGCGTTGTGCTTGACATTTTCGGGGCTTGATGATGTCCATGTAAGCTGCATTTTCGCCCTGCACGCCACAGCCCGTGACAGTCTCAACATGCCGAATCAACGTTCGCTGAGATTGATGGGGTTGGGGGCGAACAGACCATCTAGCAAATAGACGGCATGCGCAGCCAGTACCACATTTAGCCTACGCTCAGAAGGGTAGCCGCTAAACTACATACGGCACGCAATCTATAAATCGATGGTTCCAACTGTTGTGCGCTGACAGCCCCATTCAGGCCTGTCTCAGGCATATATCCTAGACCGCTGTGCATGATATCAAAGCAGATGATTTCCCGTTGCTTCCTACCTTTATGTTTCGATCCTCATATCTAAACTCGCACATTCGTGGACTTATCTCATTCTGTCACAAGGGCAGCGACCATTTACCGTAATCGCGATGATACTGCATAACTGCCGATAATGACAGAGCAAGCTTCTGAAACAACATGGGCGACCGAAACACTCGGCAACGGTGTGTTGAACTTTGGACTTCAGCCAGTTGCGTATTCGGTCACTCTGTCCTGGAATGACATACCGTTTACGACCATTACGGTAAACCCGTCACCGTCGCGTCACCTTGAATTATTCTCCAATGATAAGCTTCAACCATCCGTCACGATAACAGAAGGGCAATCAGCTCGAACAGTGAACAAACTCATCCTGTCTCTCCAAACAAGCCCCGAGCAGGCCATCTTGTACACTGTCGACGGAGTGAGTCTGATAAGCTCGTCGACGAGTTCGGCATCCTCGTTGACAAGGCCGGCATCCTCACCAACAAATCGACCCACCACCACTACCAAGCCACCTCGTTCGACCCGAACCTCACGTCCTAAACCTACCCAAAACCGCAATTCCAAGCCAGGCATAGGGAGTGGTGCAATAGCCGGAATAGCGATAGCAGGCATTGTCATCCTCGCCCTCATCATAGGCGGATGGTACTTCTGGCGGCGCAAGAAGCGGAGGGCGCAGCCACCCACGACCACCCTCACCAACGACGAACTAGCAAGACGAGAAGGCGACGGTGACAAGATGGTGCTCGATACGGATCACAACGCGACCAGAACGGGAGCGGATCAGACGGAATACCAAGAAATGTCGGGCAACGGCCTTACACAGGAATCGGATCGGTCGCACTCGTACAAATATGCAATCGGCGGTGCGCATGAGCTTAGGGCTGAGGATCAGCCGGGGGAATTGCCGTATAATGGGATGGAAGAACATGGGCGGGCGGATGAGGCTGGGGTCGTCGGAACGGACAATGGAGGTGATAGGAGGAATGCAGAGACGATACCAGTACCAGGAGCGAACAATTCGACGTCACAGGTCTCGCCGCATGTGGAAGCGCAGAGAAAGAGAGAAGTAGAGTGGCTAGAGATGGAAGAGACAAGAATGAGACAGCGGCGAGAAGCACTTCTACAACAGGGTGGTGGTCAACACACGTAATACATTGGGAAGAGTTAGGAACCAACTATGATGCAACGGTGCATACAGATATCCCAGAACACATCCTATCAAGCCCATCATCACATCCAGAAACCCACATGAAACACCTCCACAACCATCCCCCAAGCCCGCCAAACCCGCAGCCAGCCCCTACTCAACAACCTCAACCTTAACCTTACTACCACTAACCATATCCGCCAACTTTGTCTTCATAACTTCCAACTCTTTCTTCGCATCCCTATACTCCTTCCCCCTCGCCTTCTCATCCGCAAGTTGCTTCTCTAACCCCGCCACCTTCGCAGTTAACAAACTATTCTCTTGTTGCACTTTAACTAATCGCTTTTCTATATCTTGGTTGACAACACCCTTCTTCGCCTTCTCGGCCGCTAGTTCCCGCTTCAACATCTTTATGTCGTTCTGCAGTTTGCCCTGTAAGAGGGTTTTGTCGTCGATTCGAGCCTTGGTGGTCCTGTGCTGTGTGTTCAGGCTTCTGAAGCGCTGCTGTAGGTTTGCCATCTCAGCGTCTTTGGACTCGAGAGCGCTGCGGTGGTTGGTCTCGAGCTCGGACATGGAGTGGCGGAATGCGCATAGTGAATCAATTGCTTGGTTGATCCGGGTGTGGGGGTTGAACATCTGGTTCTTGTTAGTGGACTGAGATGCCTACGACTGCGTTGAGGTCTAGTGGACGTACGGGGCCGGAGTCATGCGGCGGACGACGGGCTGCTTGGACGCCGTGGCGCGCTGAGGGTGGGAAATATGTGCCGAACATGGACGTGTCGTTGGGTGGGGGATTCTGCGGGGGCATGTCGTGGAAGAATTCGGGGGTTGTAGGTGTTGACGGAAGGCGAGTAGATGGGCGGTGATCCTCGTGCGGAGAGGAATGTCGCGGGAAGTGGTAGTAACCTGGCGGTAAGGTGGTGACGGAGAGAGATATTGTGAGAGTGAGCGGGGTGTCGGGAAACGTGGTAACGAAGCAAAAGAGCGTATCAAAAGAGGTAGGAGGGGGTGTTGTGGAAGTAGCGAACGTAACGTGACCGACATCTCAAGGTAAAGGTGAGCGGTCGACGAATCAGAGCTGTCTGGAGCGTTTGCACTGCGACCCGCTGCGGTATGGGTACCGTCGGTATATATTCGTTTCCGTCGTCAGTTTCGGGGAATGTGCCGCGTCATAATACGAGCTGGTCTTGGTAGTGATTAGACCAATGTAATAGTTCGTGGCGGAAAATGATCCGCAGCAGTTAGAGGAGGCAGCTCTATCCTTCCGCTAGGACCATCGTGTTTTTCGAATCTTTTTCTAACTTGGGCAGTGCCGACCCGGACATATGTGTCCGTGGTTTGTTCGACCTTTTCGATTACTAGGCCTATTTGTGTCGTAATCATCAACACACTGCAAGACTCACGGTGAACAAAGTCATAATTGACAAGTGCTCCAACCTGTGTGCCGTTACCTAGCTGAATACTACACGAGGGAAACCACGATTCCAGTTCATCTTCAGCTTGAACATTGGTGATGAGCGTTACCGGTCCTGTGATGCGGATGGAGCCAGCTGTAGGTGCGCTAAGGGGGTCTGAACCGCTGCGAGTGATCCTGCACTCTTCGAGATGGGCGCAGTATTCACCAGTTCCCTGCAAAGTGCCGTACTGTATGATTCCCTTTACAGACGCCCAAGACCACGATGGGGCAACCCATATTGGCCGTTTGGTCAAAGTCTGGGGTTTCTTTCCGAATCTTTTGCTCGGGATGATTGTCTCGCTACGCGATTCGGAGTGCCATAGAAGGCCTTCAAAGAAGTGCAACTTCCATAGTCCGGCGTAGAACGTGTCTCCGGTAATTTTTTGGATTGCTCGGACGATACCAGTCATCGCTGGAAAGGTGTCTGCCTCATAGGTCACTTCGCGTTTGGTGAAATCCACTGTAAATTTGGCCCAGGTAGTATTACAGAAGGAGGGGCGATAATGCATGGGATCTTCGAGCATGGGTTCTTTCAGTGCTTCCGCCATCAATTCGAGATACTTTCCTGGACGGTCCGGGCACCATCTTGGGAACCTATTCTCATTCTCATCAGTATGGGAGCATCTCCATTCCATATGGCGGTTGCCAAAGCTTAGAACGCGATGGGAAAGGAGGTTTTCCTGGGCAGCCCATGCACGTCTATGCAAAGGCTGGAGCTATTCGATAAAATCAGTTCCAAATCTTCGTAAACATAGGGGTCTGCCAAGTTGTAGGGACCTTTTCAAAGGTTTCATACTTTTGGATATATAGCTCGAATGAGCCCTTCTCGTCTTTAACATCGATACGGAGCGGGGCCTCCATTTCGCGGGGGCCAAGAAATCCCTCCCCACAGTGGTGTGCCCTTGCAGCAGCTATAGTCAGATATGAATTGGAGTATACCTCTGCCATGCTTGCAGCTTCATGCTCCCAGTCTGCTTTGGAGTCTTGCAAAATACACAGACAGTCGATCCAGATGTATTCGATACCCAAGTATCGCACAATCATGATAGCGTCTTGCAAGGTCCGTGGTAACTCGTCAAAGCTGATACCAGACTCATGGGTTTTCAGATTGACCGTAGTTGTAGTCAACGGCAACATAGAACCCCAGCAGTAGCTTAGGGTGGCGTAACGACCCATGCTGGCAGTGGAAGTCTGTATGACTTTGCAGCTATGACCCCGGAAGCAATTCCTCCATGCTTGATCATCGCCAAACATTTGTTCTCGTTTAGGAAGCATGCCCACGTCTAAGACCCTTGTCGGAAATGGTACTAGTCGCGTTGACAGATGAGAGCATCCAGGATGGCTAGCGTTACATGTATCTAACCAGGAAAGCATACGTTGCAATGACCTTGGATGGAGTGTCTCTCGAAACAAGACATAAGGAGCATGATGGTGCCACCTTGGGCTTTCTGTTCCATCTCATTAGTTTGGTATTCTTGTGTTCAAACGTACATCTAAGTTACCGAAGCTCAGGTGGAGGTAGAGCCACAGCCCCAAAGTCTCGCGACGATTTGGATTACCTAGGTAGATTCCAATGCGCGGATAGCCTTGCGAATCGGTAGGAAGATCCATCCAGACCATGAGATTTCGCGGAATATTAATCTTGACTTCCTCCCACGTGAACATTGTTCCCCTCTCGAAGCTCAATTCCCACGTCTTTCGCTTTATCATTAGCAAAATAAAAGCACACAACGAGCATGCCTTAGCGCGAGATACAAGCTCCGCAATAGTGCAACGCCGCTCGTTCCAAGCAAACCCGTTCGAGGTGCCCGATAATGTTCGCCCAGCTGCATTAAACCTGAAGCCATCTAACTCATCCGTGCCCCTTAAACATCTTCCTGTGATAATCCTGCGCCATGGTATTGATTCGCAAACGTTGCATAGCGACATGTTCGGGTGTTTAGTGAGTGTAGTGTGCAGTGACTTCATCACAGTCCAGCTCACATGTTGTCGTCCCCGCAGCTGTGCCACAATGCTACATGTGCGCTAGCCTGATCCAGTACCCAACATTATCAAATGATCGGTAGTCGTCTGCTGCCTTCTGTTGTCCGAAGATCCCAGGGTTGTGTACCGAATGTTGAAGTGGGTGGTACGAGAAGATGCTACTCTTGATCCATCTCGCAGCGGCAATGCCGAAGTGGCAGGGGGCTCGGTCGTTAATATCGCGTATCGCCTATCTATGGGTTCTGAAGAGATCAACGGCTGGTTCGGTCCTATTGAAGCAAACTCTGAAAGAACAAAGAAGGTTCATCATCGGCTCATGTGAGTACGACAGGCATTGGTGCGTCTGATGCAGACAATGACGATACTACCTTTCCATCGACGGTGCGGCAGTGCCAACAGCTTACGGCACATGCGAACTAGTTCGAGGTTTGATTAGAAGGACGTGTCTGCGATTGCATCATTCCTCTGGAAAGGCCGTGAATCGCAGCGCACCTAGCCCAAGCGCGTAAGAACGATTGCGCACACCCCGCGGAAAAGACTGGTGTGAACGTGTGGCGGTGCAGCGAAAAACGCAGGGTCTGGCCGCTGCGCCACGTGTACCCGCATGTGTAAACAGGGGCAGCGAGCTGAAAAGACGAAAACTCAAATTCTGTCCAGTCGGTATTGCGCGTCACCTGGTGTTGGTGGAGATGACAGTCGGGACCAGGGGATTGGCTGCAGCCGCAGATGAGAGATCGTAGACGTGGTGAGACGGGATGTGGCTTCAATCTAGATCGTCGGTTCCCACAGGGGGTGTGGAGTTGTCAATCCTTCCCGCTGTGTGCGAGGAGCGGCTGCGCGTGTTAATCAATTGTGACTATCACTGCGGGATCAAGATGCGGTGGGGAGAATAGGCTTTCTGTGTCTGTGTCGTGTCTGTGTGCAGTGCAGGGTGATAGGACGCGCACAGAGTACGGTGAGATGGCATCGTCATAGTTTCGGCTGCTTAACCGCAACAACGCATAGTCGGTTCTGTGCCGTGTTTGTTCGCTGTATCACTGTATTGTCGGTCGCTTTCCACCAAGGCGGCGTCTAGTGACACCTGACAGGAGAAGGGGTAGCCTGGCAGCGGACAAGGCTCGATTGACGTAATTGTCGTACCGCATCCAGGATGATCGCTAGCGAGGCTGGGAGCTTGCCAAGCTTGGCAATGCTCTCTCAACTGGATTTGCGCCGCATGTCGCGAATCACAAGGTTGCTTTTCCGCCAGCTCGGTAATTTCCTTGGGCCCTTGTCGCGCATCCTTCACATGAAAGACGCGTTTCGAGCCGGACATGGGTGAGTGAAAAGTCTCACTTCACTTCACGGCCACGCCGAGCTGCATCACCGCCACGCAGCGAAAAGCCTTCCGCAATTGAGGCTGGTGATGCAGGCCGCAGTGAAGTGTCAGGGTCCAGAAGCTGGATGCGCGCAGCTAAGCTGAAGGCGTTAGCGGGCTGGCTCGAGTCGCGCGATAGGACCGATTTGTGGAGTGTGCTTGGACCACGACGTCACACTAGGAGTAGAGGCTGGTGGACTCCTTGTATAGCGCCCGCAGTCCTGTTTATTTGTATGCAGTCCTAGAGCCTCCTCATTTCCTAAGAAGCATCTTCCCTTCGCGACTCCTTCACTCCCACCCCACGGGCACGCGACTGCCTAGTTGCCCAGCATGTCGTCCACCGTGAGTCCCTCCGCTATCGCGACAGCACCAGCAGGAACGTGCGCTAACCATAACAAAGGGTGGTGAAGTTGGCAAAGCCCAGCAAGAATCCTCCAACTCCCTTTCCAGTTTGGTCTCCACCCTGGTGCCGACTGCCATTCTTGCGCTCGCCTTCGTCGTCGCTTTCCTTATCGCGCGCAAATACTTCCGCCGGGTCTATGCGCCGAGAACCTATCTCAACCATCTGGGGCAGCAGCGACAGACGCCTGCACCGAGCGGAGGCTTCTTAGGATGGATAAAAGACTTCAAGAACCTCAAGGACGAGTACATTCTCGACCACCAGTCCATTGACGGCTACCTGTTCGTGCGCTTCTTCAAGGTCCTCATCGTCACCTGCTTCCTGGGATGTCTCGTCACATGGCCCGTTCTCTTCCCCGTCAATGCAACGGGAGGGGCAGGCCAGGAGCAGCTCGATCTTCTCTCCATGAGTAACGTCAACCCCGAAGGCAAGAATGTGAACCGCTACTATGCCCATGCCGGAATTTCCTTCATCTTCCTCAGCATGGTCATGTGCATCATCGCCCGCGAGTCCTTCTACGTCGTCAACCTCCGTCAAGCGTACCGTCGCTCGCCATGGGGAGCCAGTCGCCTGTCTTCGCGTACCATTCTGTTCACCAACGTCCCAACGACCATGTCACAGTCTGCCCTCTTCGAGATGTTCCCCGGCGTCAAGCATGCCTGGGTCGCCTCAAACACGAAGGAGTTGGACGACTTGGTTGAGGACCGTGACAAGACTGCTATGAAGTTGGAGGATGGCGAGAATCAGCTCCTGCGTGAAGCCAACATGAACCGGATCAAGGCTGAGAAGGGCAAGAAGCACTTCGTCGCCAGCGACGTATCTGACGGCACCAAGTGGATCGACCCCAAGAAGCGCCCCACCCACAAGCTCAAGTTCCTGATCGGCAAGAAGGTTGACACTATCGAGTACGGACGATCGCACCTTGCTGAGCTCATGCCAAAGATCACCCAGGAGCAGGATAAACACTGGAACGGCCAGGGTGAATTGGTCGGAGCCGTCTTCCTCGAGTTCGACACCCAGAGGCATGCGCAGGATGCCTGGCAGATGATGCAAAGCAGCAAGACCCGACCTGACAAGAAGCTCAAGGCACGTCAACTTGGTATCGTACCTCAGGAGGTCGTTTGGGGCAATCTGAAGATCAAGCCCATGGAGCACCTTGCCCGCTGGGCAGTCGCTACCGCCTTCATCTCTGTCATGATCATCTTCTTCGCAATTCCCGGTAAGACCCATCATACACATTTACAGACCTCAGCTAACGTACTCAGTTGCCTTTGTCGGTCTCATCTCCAACATCAACTACCTGGCTGACCGTTTCTCCTGGCTCGAGTGGATCCTGGACATCCCTCAGGTTATCCTGGGTGTTGTTACCGGTCTCCTGCCGGCTGTCATGCTTGCCGTGCTCATGGCCCTTGTGCCGATCGTCTGTCGCTTGATGGCCAAGTTGGCTGGATACGTTACATGGAGTCAGATCGAGCTCAAGACCCAGAACTGGTACTTCGCCTTCCAGGTCGTCCAGGTATTCCTTGTGGCAACCCTGTCCAGCGCCATCACCTCCGCCATCAACCAGATCATCGACAACCCTGGCAGCGTGCTCACTCTGCTCTCTACAAGCCTGCCCAAAGCCTCCAACTTCTACATCAGTTACTTCATCCTGTTGGGTCTCTCATCGGCTGCCGGAACTCTGCTCAACATCGGCGGTTTCGTCGTGGTCGTGCTCCTGGGCCGCATTCTGCCTGGCAAGACCCCTCGCAAGATCTTCGACAAGCTTACTAAGCTGTCGGCTCCATCGTGGGGATCTGAGTACCCCAAGTGGGTCAACTTGGCTGTCATTGGTATCACCTACTCTGGCATTGCACCTCTTATCCTCGGTTTCGCTACGATTGGCTTTTCCCTCATCTACGTTGCCTTCAGGTACAACTTCCTATACGTGTACGAGACCAACCTGGACACCAAGGGCGAAGCCTACCAGAAGGCTCTTCGCCAGCTTATGACCGGTATCTACCTGTCTGAGATCTGCCTGATTGGTCTGTTCGCTATTGCCACGGCCAAAAACATCCAGGCCGTCGGTCCCTTGGCCATCATGTGCCTGCTCCTCTTCCTCACCCTCGTCTTCCAGTTCACTCTGAAATTCGCCCTGAAGCACGAGGAAGCACGCCTCGCCTACACCGACCCATCCCCTGCCCACGGCAGCGTCACCAACGGCCACCACGAGGACGGCATGCACACGCAGAACGGCGAGAAGGTCCACACCACCGATGCCACCCCCAGCTACGCACCCAAGCCCACCCGCATGCCCGGCTTCCTAGCCAAGATGTTCAACCCCGAGAAGAACTCGATCCACAACCTCTCGGCGTCCCTCGACCAGTTCTACCACCACCCGCAAGAGCCGCTGCCCATGGAGATCCAGAAGCGCGCCTTCTTCAACCCCTCCGTCACCAGCCCCACACCCGTAATCTGGATCGTAAAGGACGACATGGGCATCAGCACGCGCGAGATGAGGGACACCCAAAAGACCGTCCCTGGCCTCGTCATCACAGACGAGCAGGCTACCTTCAACGAGAAGGGCAAGGTGTACTGGAAGGGTGTTGAGGACGGTCACTCGCGCGAGGCACCCGTCTTTGACGAGCGTATTGTGTACTAGTGGATGGTCTTTCTTTCATTTCAGCTAATGAGGATGGAGTTCGATACCCAAAAAAGGGATGGAAACGTTTTTCCTTGGCTTGTTTTTGCGGATGAGGCAGAGCAGCGATGGCGAATGAGGCGTGCTTTTTCAATTCCATAAATGAGTACCCCTGCTACTTTAGCTATATAGTTCCTAGTAATGATGACTGAATTGCGTATTCAATCTGAAGATATGCATGTGCGCCTTCTATGATGATGATGATGCTGCTCAGTGGCTCTGCGTAATGGTGTGTATTGGGTATCATGCAACTATGCTCTTCACTCGATGGTGATGAAATTTTTCAAACTGCGCCTGCCCTTCGCTTCTCCAGAATCTGCAGCTTCAACCCTTCAGCCGCGACTTCGGTCTCCAGCACTCTTCCTACACCCTTCTTCCACGTCTCCTCGAGCGTCTTGAGCTCAGCACCCGCGCTGTCTTGCTGCGACCTCCTCGCCATCTCCACCTCCTCCTGCTGCTTGCCCAAACCCGCCAGCTCAGCCTCGACGCCCTTGAGTATATCCTCCAGCTGCGAGTTACCCACCAACCAAGCGTTCTTCCCAAACTTCTCCAACAGCCCCAACTGCGTCAGCCTGCCCTGCACATACTCCGAGCTCGTATACGCCTGCTTCAGCGCCTTGTTCCACCGCTCCAGCAACTCCGGCCTCTCCTCGTCGCTAGTCGGGGTCGTGCTCTCGGGCGCATCGAGATCCTCATAGCGCTTCAAATCAACGCCAGACAGCTTCGACGTAGGGTGGTCGTCGAGGCGCGCATGCTCGCGCGTGATGAAGTCGGAAAAGGTGGGTGTGTATTTCGTGGCTGCTGGTATAAGCGCCGGATGCATGTCTGTGGTGTCTACGCCCGCGGCTCTGATGTCGGCGTTGATAGCGTGTCTGGCTGCGACCAGGCTCGCAGCTGAGAGCTCCGTATCGACGTCTACAAGTGGTTAGCGAGGCAATACGGGGGTTATCAGTCCAGATGTCGCGCGTGACTGGGCGCATCGGACATGGTTGCTGTGTTGGGGCAGGAGCAAATTGGACGTACAAGGGAGATGGTCGTAGGATTCCTGGATGAGGGGCATGGCGGGCAAGCGACGTGCAGCGGGCCGGGATAAGGGCGAGGTGGATGGCAGATGGTGTATTGGATGCGCAGGTGAAGTGGAAGGGTGTCGCGAAACTAGACGTGCTAGAGAAGCAGGCCTGCACGGGTAGATTTAGGCACTGATCGCGTCCGGGCTCCCCGCCAACCAGACGGCGAGGAACCCCGCAACGTCATGCAATGCAGGTGCCAGGCGCGACCGTCAAGCTTCGCGCTGCTGTGGCCAGAGGCGATACTTTGTCTCCCCTGTCTATCTATCTTCCTTGCAGCTTGCTCATTCACTGCACGTCCATGTGCAACCCTCTACACGTCTGGCACGCGTAGCTTCCGGTGCCAGCAGTAGCGTACAAGAACCTCGCCGCGCCCCGTCCAGCGGCTTCCAGCTTCTTTCCGCACACTTCCGCCCAGACATCTCTTCGCGTCCATGGCGCGCTCACACATCGCAGTCGCACTGGGTGCGGCCCTTGTTGCCTCGCTGATCATCGCCCAGCTCGTCATCAACCTCGGATTCCCCGTCGTCGACTTCTGGCATGCGCGCCTCGATCAGACGTACACTGGAGCCCAGCAGGATGTCTTCAACAGTGAGAAGCAGGATGGAGGCCAGGCTGGCGATGCGTCTTCGTACCTTATCGGCGTTGGCAAGGCGGATATCACTGGGTAGGTGGCGAGAATACCATCATGCGACTGTACTAACGTCGTCACAGTCCCGTCGTCGAGCTTAACATGATGGGCTATGCGAACTCGTCGCAAATCGGATCTGGACTCCGCCAACGCCTCTACTCCCGCGCCTTCATCGTCGGCAACCCGGACGAAGCCAGCGAACGCTTCGTGTACCTCGTCCTCGACACACAGTCTGGAGACACTGCCATCCGAAATGGCATCTTGGAAGGGCTTCAGGCCATGGGCTCCGAATACGCTGTATACGGGAAGAACAATGTCGCCGTGACTGGCACGCATAGCCATGCCGGACCAGGAGCCTGGTTGAACTACCTCCTCCCGCAGATCACGAGTCAGGGTTTCGACAAGCAGAGCTATCGCGCGATTGTGGACGGAACGCTTCTGTCTATCAAGAGGGCGCATGAAGGCCTTACCCTGGGAACTGTCAGTGCTGGCAGTGCGAAGATTGCTGATGCGAACATCAACCGCAGTCTGTTCGCCTACCTCGCCAACCCCCAAGCAGAACGCGATCGCTATACAGACAATGTGGACAAGACCATGACACTTCTGAAGTTCACGAGAGCTAGTGATGGAAAGAGCATTGGGATTCTGAACTGGTTCCCTGTCCATGGCACCAGTATGCTGGGAAACCAGACGCTCATTGCTGGAGACAACAAGGGCGTGGCGGCGTACTTGCTAGAGAAGGACATGGAGGCCAATGCGGCCGACTCAAATGCTGCCGAGGGCTTTGTGGCAGGCTTCTCGCAAGCTAATGTCGGTGACACGACGCCCAACGTACTCGGTGCGTATTGTGAAGACGGTTCAGGCCAGCAGTGCCGACTTAACGACAGCACCTGCGGAGGAAAGAGCCAGGACTGCCACGGTCGTGGACCTTTCTTCGGCCTGGACGACGGAGGCCACAAGTCCTGCTACGAGATTGGCAGGCGTCAGGCCGAGGGTGCCAGGAGCATCTACGACTTCAATGCCTTCACGCCCATCTCTGGCAAGGTCCGCTCGTTCCACACCTATGTCGACTTCTCCAACTTCACCTTCACCCTCAGCAATGGATCCGTCGTCCACACATGTCCCGCAGCCATGGGTAACTCCTTCGCAGCCGGCACATCAGACGGCCCCGGCGCGTTCGACTTTGTCCAAAACGACCCCGGCGCGCCCTCGAATCCCTTCTGGAACCTCGTCGGCAGCGCCATCGCACCACCAAGCAAAGAGCAAAAGGAGTGCCAGTACCCGAAGCCCGTCTTACTTAACGTCGGACAAGCCAACGTACCATACCCCTGGTCCCCAAACATCGTCGACATCCAAGTCCTCCGAGTCGGCCAACTCGTCATCATCGTCTCCCCCGGCGAAGCAACAACCATGTCTGGCCGCCGCTGGCGCGAAGCCGTCCACAACGCCATCGCATCCACCAACATAGCCTCCTCGCCCATCGTGGTCCTAGGCGGCCCAGCAAACAGCTACACGCACTACATTGCCACGGAAGAGGAATACGGCATCCAACGCTACGAAGGCGCATCCACCCTCTACGGCCCCCACACCCTAAACGCCTACATCAACGCCACCCTGTCCTACCTCCCCTACCTATCCGACTCCTCCCTCCAACCCCCTCCGCCCGGCCCCTCGCCCCCGGACAACCGCGACAAATCCATCTCCCTCATCACCGGCGTCGTCTACGACGGCGCTGGCTTCGGCCGCTCCTTCGGCCAAGTCACAAAAGACGTCCTACCCACATACGCCCGCGGCGCCACAGTCTCCGCGACATTCGTCGGCGCGAATCCGCGTAACAACCTCCGTCTTGAAGGCACGTTTGCGGCTATAGAGAAACAGAGCAGTGATGGTGATGGTGATGGTGGGGAGTGGACGCAGGTTAAGAACGACGAGGATTGGGAGGTCGTGTATCAGTGGAAGAGGGTGAATGGGCTTACGGGGACGAGTGATGTGACGATTAGCTGGGATACGGCGGTTATGGGGGTGGAGATGGGGAGGTATCGGATTAGGTATTATGGGGATGCGAAGAAAGTTGGGGGAGCTATTGAGGAGTTTGAGGGGGTTAGTGGGGTTTTTGAGGTTCAGTGATGGGTATGATAGTATGAATGTTGTGTGATATATAGGGATGGGAAAGGGAGGTGTAGTTTATACCCGGTGTTGGTCAGAGAATGAATTAACGTTATCCTGATACTGAATTCGGAAGCGTGACATTGCATATGAGAAGGAAAGGGGATGAAGTCACATACGATGTTTTGTCAGATGTATCATGATTATCAGCATGCTATATCATGGCTATCACTTGTATCTCTGCCTACGATGTGTCTCGTGATCATCTCACCTTGACTATCACAATACATTCTGAGTTCGCAAATATCTCTCTCACGATGGTTATATACTCCTCCCTTGGACTCATCGCTGTGTGCGCGGAATTCGAAAGCCCATAGTCCAGAGGCGACCCAGAGACGACGAGCCAACCACACCTCCCGCATTCCATACGACCCATGCGCGAGGAGATACTCTACGAAAGAAAGAAGTGTCGCATCTCCAAGAACCGATGGTTGTTCTTTGCTCGCACGTGCACCCTCGTAGTCCTTCTCCAAACTTCGCAATGAGTATCATCGACAGATACATACGCCTTTATTAGTGCTCCTCACACCCTCTGTGCTACTCTCCATCCTCCAACTTCATATCTTCATCCTCAACTTTGACTCGCTGCCTAATCGATGGACCACGACTTCCTGGCCAGCCTGTCATAGCAGCCTCCTGCTCGTTGACCTGATGTGAGCCACTATGCACTCCTTCGCTCTTGTCCTGCTCTTTCTTAAGAGCTTTCTGCAGCTTGCTGGCCATTGCCCTGTCCTTCCCTTGCTCCCTTGCAAGCTCTTCCTCCAGAGCATCAACATCGCTGTCGTTGTTATCGGCGGCGCGAGCATCACGTATGGCGTTCTCGCCCTGCCGACATGCTTCCCTCAGCTGTCTTTCAAGATCCGATATCTCTGCTCTCAACGCGGTTATGGTACTCGCTCCATTGGTCATGACGGTTGGCTCGGGTTCATGACGGAGAGGCAAGGCTTGATCCCTCTGATCGCTGGCTCGCAAGGTTGCTCTGGTATCCGTGATCGTCTTACGAGCGTCGGCGAGCTCTTGACGCAGTCGAGAGTTCTGTATCTCCGCATACCTGTTTTTTGGGACCAGGTATGTCTGGGCTTTCCGTGAGAATTCCTCGTTTCTCTCCGCAATAGCCTTGTCGCGCTCTTGGCAGACTCGGACGAAATCCTTTTCAAGAGCGCGCCGATGGCGGCTTTCCGCGCTGTGAGATCTCTTCGGTCGCATCTCCGCGAGTTGTTTGCGGAGGAGGGTGTTTTGTTTCATGAGATCGCCTTGTTTATGTTCGCGACGTTCTCCCTCGGACATGGAAGCTATCAGCCTCTTTTGTTCCTTCCTCGCTTTCTTCCTTTGTTTTCTCAATGAAGCGAGCATTTCCTGGAGTCGTTACAGTTAGTACGTGCTGCATGACACTGTAGTGTGGTGGCTCGGGCGGTTGTCTCGGAATTAAATACACTTACCTTGTCAGTCGGTTCGAGTTTGGGAACAACGGCAGGCACGCTTTCTGCTTCCTCTCGCTCCTGCTTCACGGGCGCCCGTATGCCAAGCTCAACATCTTCTGACTTGATTCGCGTTCCGTACTGCTGATCCATGGTGGCTGGGTCGCCGTTGCGAGATAGGGCTGAAGTGATGTGGAAAAGTTTAGATTGGAGAAGTGGGGTGTTGTGAGGTTCCAAGCTTAGCAAGCGTGCACGTGGCGAAGTTCGCGAACGGGGAAGGAGCGAAATGAAGGTGAGTGGGCCGCCAAGGAGATACGATCACGATTGGATACATCGGAGGCAGGCGCAAACGGAAGTGACGAGCCCTCGAAGTTTGCAAATGTCCACGATTAGAAGAGCACAGCCCAATGCAGAGTTCAAGCTATGATAACTTCTGTATAAGAGTTCCGCGTCACTGTGCAGCTTTTCACATACGTCTTGTATTGCCCACTATCACTCACTCTCCATCAAATCTTCATCTTTGATGAGATCTTCTTTCATAGACTCTTCTTCGTTAAGCAACTCTTCAGTCATCTCAGCCTCATTTCCCTCGAGACCCGTGAGGTGTGCCAAGCGCTCCTCGGCCTTATGCCAGCAATCCTCCACTCTCTTTCTAGTCTTTTGCTCCCATTTCAGTTTCTTCGTTAGATTACGGACTGCCAGATTGCTTTCGGCTTCTGTCTGCGCAAGTTCGTCGCCTAGTCATTCAAGCACAACCCTTTCCTGTTTGTGCTACATGCAGTTGTTGTACGCTCGAATGTCTCGCTCTGCATTCTTGACCCTTCGCTTCAAGTTCTCAACCTTCTTCTGCAATTGCTGATTTTCTAGCTTGAGATCTTTGATGATACTGGCTTTATTGGATCCAGTGGCTTCTTGCAGCAAGAGGACTTGGTTCTCAAGGTCTTTCATCCGCTGCACTGTTGTCCCGTCGCGAGCCTCTCTGAGATCTTTGCGGAGCAGGGAATTCAGCGTCTCGAGACGTTGGACATGCCGTTCTCTTTTTGTAAGAGGTTCGGTTCGTTTGACTTTCTTGGCTTTCTTGGACTTCCTCGGTTTGCTGTGGGTAGTGGTAGTCTAGAATTGCTTGTATTAGCATGCTGTAGTAAATGTAGTAGTTAAGAGTTAATAAGCTTGTTATGGATGGACGTACTTGATCGGTCGGCTCAATTTTAGGGACAGGAGTGGCCACGCTCTCAACAGGTACTTGCTCTTCGTTCACCGGCACCCAGATGCCAAGCTCATCGTATTCTTCTTTGACTTGCGCGATGTACTGCTGCTGCGGATCCATCGTTGTAGTGGTGCTGCTGTGGCTTGGAATTACTGTGTGGAGAAGTAAAGATCGTAGTGGCGGCTGTTTGTTAGGTTGGATGTGGCACGGTGTTTTGATGAGGAAGGAGCGAAGCGAAGGTGAGCGCGTTGCCGAGGAGGCAGGACGCATTCGGACACCTCAGACGCGTGGGCCAATGAAGATGAAGGTGAAGAAACTCTAAAGTCTGCCCATGTACACATTTGGAAGAGCATAGTCCAATGTAAAGCTCGTGTCATGATCGATGAATTCTTTCAAGTGCAAGATAGACCTGTCCACCAATCCACCTCATTGCGCCAATCCAAAAGGAAACTCGTGATATCATCCCGCTACCTTCCAATCATGACCACTAATCCACAGTCCCCCACTGCGGCGGCCCACCCTCAATCTGCCTAACCTCCTTCTGCCTCTTAACATTCCTCTCATAATGCTCCTCCTTCTCCTTCAACATCCTCCTCTCCACCCCAGCCCTATGCTCCAACTCCTGTTTCCGCTGATCAATCATCTTGCTCTCAGCCGCCATAGCCTCCCTCAGCTTCCTTTCCTCCGCAGCCGCTCGTGCAGCAGCGGCATCGCGCTCTTGCTCTTGCACCAAGTTATGCCAGGCCACTCGTTCCGAGCGCTTCATGCGTTCCGCTTCCCTTACGCGATGGACTTCGAAGTCGTGTTTTTGCTGCTCCAGGGCGGTGTAGTGTTGGGTTGCTTTGGTTTGTAGTTCTAATTCGACGGTCTGGCTCTCGCGCTTGCGTCGGAGGATGTCTTTGTGGCTTGTCTCTTCGATCGTGCGAGTGTGCTCGAACTTCTCCTTCTCGTGGCGGATGGAGAGCTCGTGTTCCTTTTGCTTGTCTACGAGTTTGGCGATCGCGGGTGGGATGCCTGTTGCTCCGACGGGTTGGAGTGCCGAAGAGGAATAGTAGACTGGAATACAGGCCTTGTCGCGCAGGAGATCGAGTAAGGCTTTTTTGACGGGAGCGCGGGCGGGCGTAGCGATCAGGTCGACGTAAGAGTAGGGTGAGTAATGGAGGCCTGAAGCTGCATCGCAGTAGATGTGTGCTTCATCGTTGAGGTCTTGCCATATCTCCGTCTCTAGCAGAGCCTCTGTGATGGGAAGGGCGCTGTAGGCATTGTCGAGCGCGAGGATGACACTGGACTTCTCGTTGCGAGCGCGAAATTTGGGATTTACCCGTTTGGATAAGAGAAGACGCAGTAGCTGGCGAAGTTTCGAGCGATGCGTGGATGTGGAGACTCTCGCGTTGAGACATATCTCCCCGAGGACATTCCTACCGCCATGGAGACGGGATGGGTAGTTTGGATCATGAGCATGCTCCAACAAGGCCTTCGTGACCTCGACGTTGAGTTCCCTGGCTGACTCATGTAGTGCACCATCACTTGCTAGCGAGCATGGCGCTAGTAATCTCACTGTAGCTTCCCCAGACACACTGCTGCTAGCGTAGAAGAGTGCGGATTTGTTCCAGACATCCCGAAGATCCGCATCCGAACCCCGCACGACTAGTGCATTCACTATCTCATGACGCCCCTCGCGAGCGGCGAGCATAAGTGCCGTAGTCTCCGAAGCGGCAGAAAGTCGGTCAACGGATGCTCCAGCTTCCAAAAGGGCGGAGATTACGGCGTCCGAAATGCGCTTTTGTGGTTGAGCTAATGCCCAAAGCAGTGCGGGCACAGTTTCGGGTCCGCAGGACGAATGGAGAACCGTGGGGATGGTTGTTTCCGGGTTCAAGCCGTGCTTCAAGAGTAGCGTAATGAGCGCGCTATTGCGTGGGTACACAGTCATGGTGGTGATGAGTATCGGTGGCTTATTATAGCCGACACCGAGCTGTTCAAGTATGCAACCGTGATCGAGGCATGACTGTATTGCGGCAACGACTACTTCGTCTTGGAGCTTGGAGCTCAATAACGCTGGAACGACGACGTTGAACTTGGGGTTGTGATGCATGAGCTTCTCAAAGATAGTGTGACTGTGCTTTTGTGCTGCGAAGACAAAGCATGCCCCATCCGCCGTGTTGACATCCGCGTGATATTGAAGCAACAGATCAATCCAGGGCTCCGTATACTTACTATGCTCGTTGCTGAGGACTAGTCGCAGGGCTGCGTCGATGGCAGACTGTTCTACTCCAAGGGCCAGTAGCTCTTGTGCCATTTCACCAATGCTCTCTTTCTTTCCTTCCAGCATCAACTTCTCGTCGGTGAACAATGTACGGAACGACCTCGTGACGTTAGATCGTGATGGTTGGTGACGTCCACTGAGTATTAATGCCATTAGCGAGCTGTTTCCTGAAGCTACCGCAACACTCAACGCTTCGCCATCGTTGTGACTCACAGATGCTCCTTGTCCCAACAGCAACCTAGTACTGGTTGTGTCATTCGTGGCAACGGCCTGTCGTGTCTCCGCGGCAAGGGCTTGGTCCAGAGCGTCTTGTGGTATACCTAGCTTCAGTAGAGCATCGAGTATTGGTGCCTTCTTGTGGGGATCTTCAATCGCTGTCGTGTACTTGAATGCGGTGCTTAGCAGCCTAGGGCTGGCAGTGAGGAGCCGCTCGATGATATCAATGTTGTCGGGGCCGCCATTGATGGCAATCTGTAACGTCTGACTAGCTGGCTCTTCTTCAATTCCATGATTCAGAAGCAAGTCAATGATTTCGAGTGTTTTTGAATGTCTGCCAGCTCGTGAATCAAAGGCGAGAGGTAGGGCTGCCGATGTCGCTGAGGAGTTGGGTCTAGTGTTGCAGAGCAGACGCAAAAGAGATATGTCGACTTGTGTCACTGCCAATGACAAGGCTCTTTCGTCAACGTTGGCACCTTTTCGAACAAGGTCTGTTATCAGAGCCCCATCCCGCCCAGCCGACGTGTCTGCGATTGCATTGACTAGTACTTGATCGACACCTGGACCGCTTGCGCCGTACTCTAGTAGTAGCCGTGCGATCTCGCGTCGTTCCGATACGGAGATTCCATCAGTACGAAAGATGAGCGGAAATACGTTCGCTAGGGTCTCTGGTGGGGGGCGAGCGTTGAGAATTGACTTGAGTGTTCGGATATCTCGATTGACCACTGCAAAATGAAGTGCGCCGTTGTCGCCTGAATCGACAGGTGCCCCAGCACCAAGAAGGAGGTCGATCAACTGAGTGTCTTTCTCCTTTGTGGCTTGCGTGAGCAATCGACCAAGAGGCGGACCTGATGCGCCTTTCTTTAGCAAAGCGTCGACTACGCGAAGTCTATCTGGCTGTGGGGTGTTGGTCGGCAGAACAGCAAGCGCTGCTGTCGCATGCTGAGGGGCGATGGACGTCTGGAGGATGGCATCCACTAAGCTCCAGTTTGAGTTTTCGATGGCCTCTCTCAGACACTCTGCATCATCAGCTGTGGTCGGTACGCCATAGCTGACCATCATCTTCGCGCCAGCAGTGTCGTTACTTCTTGCCAGACAGATGAGGAAGTCCGGTAGACCACGACTATCGGGAGGTAACCCGCAACAAAACAAGAGCTGTAGGAACTGCAACGTTGCTTGCCGCGTTGGTAGCCTCATGGTAGTGTCGAGCGCATGTTGCAAGTTCGGTTCGTTAAGACGGATCGGGCCAGCGACCAAAGCGATGGCCAGCTTGTAGGCCTGTCTTCCAATCGCCATGTTGAGAGCGCTTGCGGAGTCAAAATTCGGGTCAGCGCCGTATGCTATCAGCAGAGATATGACAGCATCCGAGCCTTGCTGAACCGCTGCAGGTAAGCATGAGTTGATGATCTGAGCACGCAGTGGCTTTGGTGCTCGCAACAAGAGCTTGACGAAGTTCAGGTCATTCGATCGGACCGCATTAGCCAAAGCATTGGGGAAGTTGTTCAGGTCTGCTCCGTGACGCAGTAAGAGGCCTATACTTTCTTGGTCGCCGGCAGCCAGAGCAGCTTTCAGTCCTTCGTCCAAGGTCTGTTGGTCCGCACCAGAGGCGGCGAGGATGTTGACACCATCGGCTTTCCTCAGGCTTGCAGCCTGCTGCAAGACCGTGCTACGGCGGCGCAATGCTGTGTTGGCCTGATTACTCGATCTTCGCTTCTTGTCGATTGTTTCGATGATATTCACTTTCGCGCCCAGAGTGAGGAAGGCTTGGATTAGGCCGGGTCCAGTCGTGGGACTGCGGATGACAGCGGACAAGGCTTGGTCGAGCTCCTCCTGCGAGAATTGCGCCCCATCCTGTCCCTTGTCCTTCTCTTTCGAGCTTTTGAAGATGCTCTTCAACACATTCTTGCTTTCGGGATTTTTGGCCCTCCGTTCAAGCAGGATGTTTCGCGCTTGCGAGATGTCCTCGTCGCTGACTGAGATGGCCGGCTGTGTTGGGGCCGGGAGGACTGCTTGGCGCTGTTCGACGGGGATGACGCCGGCATTACGAATGAGGTCTTTGAGGCTCACTCTTCGTTCCATGGTGTATCGTGGGATGATTACTATCGCGTACCCAGAGAACCGAGGCAGCTTATTTCTAAAGAAGTTCTACATGAGGGCGTTGCGTAGTGCACACACGTGTAGGCTGAGGCGGAGCTGCGGAAAGAGCAACGACGCTAGCTCGATCCGATTCGACGAACTCAGGGCCGACGATGTGGCCGTCTCACTCGGATCATCACGACGCGACTCTCCGAATCTCCAGCAGCGCCGGTGATCTTAGATACAGCACTGTCGCCGGAGCGATGCTCTCGGTCTTCTACATCGACCGTATTCAACACGGACGAACACGCTTCCTGCCTACTCGCGTTTTGCCACAAGTGCTGACCTCGGAAACCTAGGGCAAGCCACCGCACGGTCTCGAACCTGGAGACGCAGGCTGGCCTTCTGCTGGCCTTGCACTAATGCGGACCGACTCCTCACTTCAACGCAGGTAAGGTTTCTGTTACGTTCGACGTCTGGGGAAACGGGTGATGACATCCTGCCTGCAGGCGGAGAGCGGCCCACGTGAAGACCAACACGCGGCAAAAGCATCGCGAGACATCTCAACGACTGCGGCGTAGTTGGGTAGCGGTCGCGGTTGTTTCAGCGTGATAGCGGACGAACTGCACACGATATGTTTCCTGCCCCATTTCGGGCCGTCAGCTCATCCCCCACGTTTCAGGTTCTGTGGCAGGTTCTGCAGGTACCCAGGTACCAGTTTCAGCAACACTGTCTGCTAGTCACATGGAACTTCTGTCCTTGATCAGATTTCCCTGTAGCTACGCCGCAGACAGGGTGAGATTGCGGCTCTTCTGAAGTGGCTTCCTTCCTAAGAAAGCTAGGGCTCCTGTCGCCTTAGTTTCGACGACGGCGCATCGTGGCGTACACGATGAATCTTACAACACGGATTTCGCAGCGCGCCATTGAACTTTGCAGGTTATATTGACGACCTGTTATGATCTTCAGAATCTCTTAGCAGCTTGGCCAACATCGAAGGACCCACGGGTTGTTTGTGCAAACGTCGTCAACGCGCTTCTACCGCAAGGCTGGGATGCCTCGTTTCAGAAGACCGTTGGCCACACTGACTCGCGACAGTTGTGCTTACGCGAAACCGCGCTCTCGCCCGACACCACGGCACTTCAACCGTTAATCCATGCACCAACGTATCTTGATCCTGTCGAAACACCAACATCGACCTAAGGATCATGTCAAACGTTTTGACATGTTATCACCCGCATCTGCAATCTAAATCCATGTAGAAGCTACCTGAGAAGGTCCGACGAAAGGATGACAGAACTTTATATAAGTCGTCTGACGTCTTCATCTAGGTTGGACCAGAGCAAGCGCAATTATCCAGCTTTCAGCCTTTCAGCCTCCTTATCTCGTTCTTCATTCGTTTCTTCGGGCTCTGGTAGCTCTACATTCGTTCGCATACTCGTTAATTCCAGCAACACCTTCTTTCCTATCCATAACTCCAGGATACACAAAAGTCTTTCGATTCTCAAAAGCACTCTTTACCGACAACCGTCAACATGCACGCCTCACTCTTTCTCACGGCATTCGCGCTCATTCCAATGGCCATGAGCGCGCCTTCGCGCCTCCCACAAATCTATCCTCGTCAGGAATGCGACGACACCGCCAACACTACCGCGCCTGCAGAGCCCGCGCAACCTGGAGCACCATCTTGCGACCTCAGCGGCATCCAGCAGCCCGCCTCTGCGCTCCCACCACCATCAGCCGACATGTCTCTCGTTCTTGTCGCGCTCGGCATGGGCACACAAAACTACACATGCAGCAACGCGACAGCCACACCAGCCGCAATCGGCGCTCTAGCCCAACTCTTCAACGCCTCCTGCGAGATCTCATCGGACCCTACCGCTGGCACTGCATCTCTAGGCCGCGTCCAAGAATCCGCATCCATCGGCACGCACTTCTTCCTCGACACCACTACTCCCGACTTCGACATCCTTGGTCTTGGTAACACGGTGGCTAAGAAAGTCGACGATACGCCTGCGCCCGATGCGACTAAGGATGTAAAGTGGCTCAGGCTTGAAGCGCAAACAGCCTCGACTAGTGGTGTCAAGATGGTGTACAGGCTCAACACTGTGGGTGGGATGGCACCGGCAACCTGCGATGGTATGGCACCTGGGCAGGTCGTTACCGTGGATTATGAAGCGCAGTACTGGGTTTACGCTTAGAAACAGACGTCTCTGTCATGGTGTAATCTCAGAGCTGGCCTCATCTGATCTTTTACGAGTGGTCGACTACGACTGCAAGACGTTACGTTTCTTTTCTTGGCAATCCAGTGGGAGGATGAGAGGATGATTTGTATTCAGCTACGGTTTCTTTCTTGTTATTTCCTTTGATACACACTATTTTGGGGAGGCGGGTTTGCTTTATCGATATGTAGGATACGTGAACAGCTGAATGTAACAAAATATACATCGCGAGTACAGTTCACATGTGCTTGCAGTGAGCATTTACGCGCTTACTAGAGCAGACTACTCATGGCCACTCAGGCATCTCACTTTCCAGTCATTGTTGATCGAATTCAATTGTAGGGGCATGAGACATTCCATTGATCCAACTAAGGGCCACGTACATCAAACATTCTTAAGCGCTCGAGTAGATGAATCCCAACTGGTCAACCTCGTCGCCCGAACGACCAAGGAAGCCAACAATACCACGACCAGTCCCCGCAGTCCTCGTAACACAGTCATCCGTCTTGACACCAGTAGAAACCGTCTTCCCAGCACTAGTCGTAAACAGCGCATAGAAGATCCTCGTCTTACCGTTCTTCTGACCCTGACACAGCTGCGCAGAAGTCAGCGTCTCATCCGCAGCCAAAGTGAGCGTAGTCGCCTCGCCACCAGTCCCACCATGCGAAAGCGTCTGTCCAGAAGCCAAGCTAACGGAAACAGCATCAATGCGCTCCTTACCACGGAGCGTGATGGAAGACACCTTCGGGCTGGCGAGACTGGCGATGGCGCTCAGATCGTTGTACCACGTACCTTCTTCACCGCCAAACACATCAGACACGCTTCGGCGGGCATTCAGGCTCCAGGAAAAGTCAACGAGCACACCGTTGTGGTCGCTCAACAAGTCGCCGTTCTCCTGGAGGAACATGTGGCCTGCGTAATCGAATTTGGTGGCCTTGAGCGTTACAGCGTCAGAGCCGCGGTACCAGGTCTTATCGACGATCTCGCACTCGTTGGTCGTGGAGGGGTTCGAGCAGAGAAGCGCGTCGGCGCCCTTGGCAGGTGGGACTCCGTTCTTGACGAGCTCGAGCCAGACATCTGTCATGCCGTTTTCGGTCTTGGAAACGTCGGGGATGTCGTCGGTGCGTGTGTAACGCGAGTTTGAGTCGCCGAAGACGACGACGGCGTTGCCGACGGAGTTGGCCTTGATGTAGTCGGAGACTTGGCGCAGGTTGGCTGCGCGGGCCTTGTTGTCGGCGGCTGTGGTGCTGTGGAGGTTTAGTGGGTTGTCATAGGGTTGAAGGAAGTAGGGTGGCTTACCCGGCATCGGCGTGTAGGTTGTACATGTCGACTACTGCGCCTTCGGCAATCTTGACACGCATGAAAGTGAAGCCCTTGGGTGTGAGGCAGTCCGCACTACTGTTGACAGAGTGTTATGTCAGTGTCGTACTATGCAATGTGTTTGTGCCATCGTTTGAGCTTGACTTACTCGAAAGTACTGCACGTGTTCCACTTGACTCGCTGAAATCCAGTGTAAGGATAGTTGCTCAAAGTGTTCAAGCCGCTGCCAAATGGCACTCCTCCGCTGGTAGGCGTCCTATATGGGTGATCGTCGTTGGCATATAGTGTGGCATGGTAGTTGAAGTCCTCTTGAACGTTGATGACACCGATATCGTATTGAGAGAACAACTTTCCAATACGGGCAGTGTTTGTTGTCTTATCACCGGGAACATCGTTACCGTTCAGGGCAGCAGGAAGACCAGCGACATTGAATGTGAGGGTGTTGAACGTGCCGGAGGTTTGGGCAATGGCGAGGGGAAGCAGGGAAGAGAGAGCGTAGACGGAAGCCAGAATGGAATGCATCTTGAACTGTGTTGAGGACTTGACAACTTGATCGTGCAGTCTGATCAAATTTCTACCAATGTAGGCTTGCTCTTAAGTATACAACGACCTTGATGTTGACTCGCAGGTGTGGTGCGGGATAGGTTAGGCTACCCTAGACGTCATAACGAATGGTAGGCCAAAGGGATGGCATGTGTGTTTACATGCTGCGCAGTGCACATATTGTTGCAGGCATTGATTTCGGAGGTTTACCGTTGCAGGAAGGACCAATAGCTCACAGGGCTCGGGTGGGTTAGCGTGCCCGAGATCAATGCGAGATCATCCGGGATCCCTGCGCACGTGCGATGGAGATAGACGTTGGGTGGCAGGTTACTCGAGCCTGCGATAGGAAATATAGAGTGAGACGGAGAACTGAGAAGCGTGTGCAATTGTCGTGGTTTGCTTCGCACACTGGCGGTGGTTGTGGTTATAGTTTTGCAGCACCGCGAATCTTGATCCACAGCCCCTCGACTGTAAGTAGCGGCTTGCCCTGTCGATCCCTCATCGTGGCTTTCATCCGCATTTTGTTCCCTGTGTCCCCAAGTACAATCGTTTCAATGCCGACAACACCAGGGCATAACACCGGCGCCAGAAGCTTCACGTCCATGGTGGCTGTGGCTAATCGGCCCTTAAGCACCTCTTGTGCCGACTTTCCATCATGAAGCTGGAGTCTCCAATAGTCTTCTCCTACTTTCATAAAGCCAAGGCCATGTTCAAGCACGGTATTGGCAACCAGGATATGCAGCATGGCTTCGTCCATGAGCGTCAATAATGCGCCACCGTGGCAGATGCCGGGAAAGCCGTTCAAGCCGGTTCCATACTTGATCAGAGATATCGACTTGGTGACTTTGGCGCCCGGCGCCGGCTTCTCGTACAGCTCGAGCCAGTTTCTCACGCCGTTGTTCGCGCGCATTGTGTCGCGACAAAATCGGTCCGTATCCTCACCCGGTTCGGTGCCTCGCTGGCGGTCACATGCAATCCAGCTGGGAGATGTCAGGTACGGTGTAGCCCATGTCAAAGGTGCAAAAGCTTCGAGATGTTCGGATGTTGCCGTCATGGTAGAAAGCGGAGAAGTGGTGTACTGTGTCCAAATCGCAACCAGTGCATCAGAGTCTTGCTCTTTATCCTCATTTTCACACTATTCTCGTCAAATTATGTGGTTAGTAATGAGTCAAGCGCTGATGGGCGTCCTTCTGTGAAAGGTAAGTTGCCGATGATATCTGTCCAGTAACAGTTGCTCGTAAGACTGTGGCGCAAGGCTTTGGTGTGCTGCGCAGAAGAACCGCCGGACCAGAAGCAGGCGGCAGCAGCCGAGGTAGAAATGTCAGTCATGCAGCTGATTTTGGCTCCTGCGCGACTTCGTGAAGCGAACATGCTATGATTGGAAAAATGCAGCATCGGTAGTACTGTATTGGATGATGCAGGTGGTCGAATGTGCAGGAGCAAGCTGCTAGGTGGAGGCGCGCAATTTTAGCGCGTGTCACGAAGAGTGCTGCCCCAGCTAGCACTAAGGTTGGCCTCTTCACCTCCCGAGGTCCCACAACCGCCGGCACACACCACATCGCCTCAACCGGCATCAGGCTGAGTAACTTAACAGATTGCTGCAGCGAAGACTCAGTTGCTGAACCATCCCAACCGATTACTATACATTGGCAAATGCAACCGCCGAACTGCGAATCTCATGATGCCGCAGATGCCTCTCACAGTCACGTGTTGCTTACTAACTTCATGTAATCGCTCTACAGGACCTATCATCGCGCAGAGAGCGTGCCGAAACATGCCGATAACTCATTGAACATCATTGCCATGCGGCAGCCGATGCATCAGATGTCTTTGCGGCACTCAAAGTGTCGCCAGTCGCGCAGGTCGATTATAGAGCATGGCACCATGGGCACCGATGCGGTGGATGGACGGCCCCGGGGTTTAGTATAAGAGAAGGCGCTCGTTGATGAGCAACGCATCAACAACCAAACTCCATCTCATTCAGCACGAGAAACGTGTCGCGACGAAAGGTGTCATCATGTCCAGCCCCATCAAGAACGTCATCATCCTAGGAGCATCCGGTTCTGTCGGTGCTCCCATACTTGACGCCCTCCTCGCGGAACCCTCCTTCAACATAACCATTGTCAGCCGCGCATCCTCATCAGCCTCGTTCCCATCTCACATCCCCATCATCAAAATTTCGGACGCCTTCACGACAGAAGAGCTCACAGAAGCCTTCAAGGGCCAAGATGCAGTCGTAGTCGCATTATCCACCAGCCCAGTCACCGCTGGCGGAAAAGATGGTCTAGCATTCCGCCTCATCGACGCTGCACTTGCAGCAGGCGTAAAACGCTTCATCCCCAGCGAATTCGGCGCCAACAATCTCGATCCCCGGGCTCGCGCCCTCGTACCGACATACGATCTCAAGGGAGAAATGCTGGAGTACCTCATCAAGACATGCGACGAAAGTCAAGGCGAGATGACGTGGAGCAGCATTTGTTGCGGTAGTTGGCTGGACTGGGCACTCGATCCATCAAAGTCTGGTAACTTCCTCGGCATCGATGTCAAGGGGAGGAAGGCGACGGTGTACGATTCTGGGAATAGGCGCTTTGCCGTTACGAGTAGCAAGAACACCGGCCTTGCAGTTGCGCGTGTCTTGGTTTATCCTGAGTTGACTGCAAACAAGCAGATCTTTTTATGTGACTTCACGGTTAGCACCAGGCAGATTGTCGAAGCACTGGAAGGGGAGACTAAGGCCAAGTTCCACGTTGAGGAGAAGGAGAGCGGCCCCGAGATCGAGCAGTCTCGAGAGAAACTCGAAGCAGGGGACTTGAATGCAACGTTTCGGTTGTTGGCAATCAGTTTCGGGGCTGATGTAGATGTTGGATATGACTTCGAAGCTGAACAAGAGATCTGGAACAGTAAGCTGGGGCTGCCAAAGGTGACACTCGAAGAGGTGGTTCGCGAGTCTGTGGAGTTGGCAGCACAATCTTAGAGGCAGTGGAGGTCGATGTGGGCTTGGAAAGACACATGAAGGTTACTGTTTTCTAGCGTATGCTTCGTTTCTCCACATTCCTATCGCTACCTGGGCTAAGATAAAAGCACGCTGCGCAAATGGGGACTGGCTTTAAATCGATATCGCACGACCATACTGCACACCTCTTCCCTCTTCACTCTTCCCTCCCATCCCTCTTATTCAGCACCCTAGATCGTCTTCACCGGCCCACCCGGCGGCGTATACCCCCTCTGCCCCGCCTGCACCTGCCAAAGCTGCACAAGCACCCCCTCCTTATCATCCGGATCATACGCCCCCGGCAGTCCCACACCGCCCGGCAACCCCTTCTCCCCATTCCCACCCACCTTTATCTGCACACACGCCGGATAAAACTGCGCCCCCATCCTCGTGCCCGCGACATGCAGCCCCAGTATCTCATGCCTGAGCAGATACTCACCGGGCTTCAGGCCAGCGGGTATGGTAACGGTCCAGCTGGCGCCTTGCTTGGCGAGGTAGTCGGAGCCCCAGGGAGGGGATTTCGTGGTGTCGTAGCCCATTTGATCGAATTTGACCCAGGGGGTTCCGGTGTCACCTTTGAAAGTGCTGCAGTTTGTGCCGCAGGAGGCGAGGTAGTTCATTACAGGGCCGGAGTGGGAGGAGCCCCATTGGTCCCATTGGAGTTTGCTGGGTTGGTGTTAGTGTCTGTGTTGGGTTCAAGGTTGCTGTGTCGATGCTTTGCATGGCACTGAAGGAGGACGAGGAAATATGAGAGGAAGAAGAGGAAAGAACATACACCTTATCCCCCGGCATAACCGGTATAACGCCTTTCGCTGGCAGGTTACCTCCCACATTGCACGTAATGTCTTTGGACGTGAAGTCAGGAACCGGTCCGTTATCTTTGATGCGACGGGCGTAGCGGACGGGTTCGGGAGTGAGGTAGTCGTCTTGGCCGACTTGCCAGGCTAGGTAGTTGGCTCCGCCATTGACAGAGATGGACTTCAGGTAGCCGTGAGCGGATGTGGAGGTGATGAAACCGAGGAGGGAGATGGCGGAGATGAACATGATGAAGGTGCCGAGCAAACTGCAGTGGATAGCAGCTGGGTGTGTTTGATCTTGTTGACCGTGTTCCCGTCGCTGCATGTTGTGGTTTATATACCGGAATGGTCAAGTCCTTTTTCAGTACCTTATGCATACAGTCCTGCAGTGTAACCATTTTCGACCCGGAATCCGTAGATTACTAGAATGCTTGTTTAGCGATCGCCTGCTGCTTTTTGGTGGATTATTCCATGTTAATTCTAGAAGGCGTGGACGTGACTCAATTTAGATTGGGCGCATATTGCTAGAGGGCGGAGTGGATCCTCCGTGTCCGAATTGGGCGACGAGGCGGAACGTCGGACGTCGTTTCAGTCTTCGTAGCACATTGGAACACGGTGTGGCAAGACTGGCTGCGAAAGGTTGGAGTTATTGAGAGAAGTCTGTTGAGTTCTTTCTATCTTACTCGTGAGCTCGTCGAGATAGCAACGCGAAGATCACGTGCAGAGAAAGTACTTGTCTGCAGATAGATCTATACATCGCCCCGAACGCCACGCATACCAACCATCAGTACCTCTCGTATCTTCCCCGACGATGCCTAGCACTCGAAGTAGCAGGTCGACAACCTGTCCCAGTAGTCCCGGTCCTGGTTGACCCACTCAGTGCGGTTGCACGAAGCATCCTTCCAGCCCTTGAAGCTATCATCGAACTCGATAGTACCGACCATACCACCAGTATACTGGAACTTGAACCACTCCCAGTGTGCACCAGGCGTCATGTTGATCCACCTGAGGCTGAAGGTGTCGGTGGGCTTGAAGAGACCGTGGATCTTGAGTGCTTGGCCCGGTGGCTTGCCGTCGATCGACTTTCCGTTGAGCATGCCTTTGAGAGGCTCACCGTCGTCCCAGCTGTATGATGTCAATGTTTGTACTTCTCTCATGACTGGCAAGTCGGTCATGGTGAGAGTGGTTTACGTACGTCATGCCTTCGATGGTCTTGTTCTGGCCGTCCGAAAGGGCGAGCCAGACGGTGGTGTCGATATCTTGCGGATTCTGGGGCTTCTTCTCGACGATGTTGAGGTAGAGGTAGCACATGCCGTGAGAAGGTGGATCTTGTCTCGCGACGGCGTCGGAGGTCAACATGGCAACATCGGAGGATGCAGTGGGCACCGCAGCCGCATTGGCGACGTTCCAGATGCTCAAGGCAGTTACCAAAGCGGTGTTGAGGAGCTTCATCGTGAAGGCGGTGGTGTGCTTTCGGTAATGGTGTAGGTTCTGTAGGATGCAGTGGGTGGATTGGTTGTGGTTTCGTCAAGGGAGGGAAATTTGCAGAGGTGCAGAGACTTTTGAACGGCAAGAGATTGCAATAGCAGTAAGCGGTGAAAAGGCGGATTCGATGTGAAGCCGGCTAGAATATTGAGAGCCGACTGCGGAAGGCACGACTAGCGGTGACGTCGCGTAAACACAAACAATCAGCGCACCAAAAATGCACCAGACGCGCTGCCCACACTTTTCGTAAAAGATACACAAACACACCGAAATAGAAAGCTGATTCGCTGTCATCAAGGACCCACTTCCCCATAATACAATCTTCGCTCCAAACGCCAATGCAATGCAAATCACAAACGGCTGGCCCGGACGGAGCTTTCCAGCACCGTAAGAGAGGGAGTCATTACGCGACGATATCCACCAGGATGATTAAGTATTAAGCAAAGGTCGTGTCACGTTTCGTGCTTCCTCGTCAATCTCCTCTTGCGTTGGGGGTGTCAAACGAACACTTCGGAGCCAGCCGTACCACCGTCAAACGTGCTTGTAGATAACCGGGCTCTTCGGTGGGGTGTCCACATTGATCGAGTCTACTCTCTTCCTGGGGGTGCCGCTAGGTGAACCTGAGCCCACGTTGTCGTACTCGTACCAAACGCCTTTGACCCGCCTGTTTAGCTTCCGAGGTGGTGGGCTGATTCGGGTTGCGAGAGCGTTGAACGAGCTAGTGGATAGTGACTGGTTGCTTGCGGTATCCGAAATGACATTGGAAGTGAACTGTGTGACCGAGTCGCCGAGGTTCTCGATAGTGCGCATCATACCCTGGCAGGTCTGTGACAGCTCGATCTGGTTCTTGGATAGAGTCTGAAGTTGAGCTACGGTCGTCTTGAGTATGTCCTTGGTCTGCTCCTGAGACTTGCGCGTTTGCTCTTGAGACTTCCGTGTCTGTTCCTGTGATAACCTGCTCTGCTCGTGCGACTGGAAAGATGTGTTGGAAAGGGCAATGTAGTGTGACGCGTTCTGATCGACAAGCGCTTGAAGCTTGATTTGGGATTCGGAGATGGCCTTGATCTGGATACTGTTCGACTCGTTGATCTCTTGCATCGCTTGTAGGCCTGTCGATTGCGCGACCGAGAGCGCATGGACTTGCTCAGCATTGCTCTCGACTATGCTTGCTAGCTGGGTAAGACTCGCCGCCAGGCTGTCGATAGCCGATGTGCTCGCCTTCCCTTCGCATTGGTGTGGAGGCGCAACGGCGGGAACACCGTTTGCGTGTTGCAGGGGAAGCACAATCGGCGGGCATGTTGGGCTATCCTGGCACGTGTAGAACCACTTGTTCTGAATATCGGAGAACCTGGGGTCTTCCATTATGAGCTCCATGTCTTCGCTCCTGACTACGAAATACTGCGGGCTCGGTCGCGACGACGACGTGTATTCCTGCTGGACCAGATTCCACCATTGCGTGCAGATGGCGGCCGAGGCGAAGGTGAGGATGTATGGAGGAGATGCAGGATAGTCGCTCTGTAGCACAAGTCAGTACGCCGTTGTTGGCCGGTCCATGGCACACAGTGCAATTGGCATCGCTCACCCTCTGCGCATAGGCATAGAACAGATTCCCACCCTCTTCCATCTCAACCCTCTTCTCCTGGGCCGGTCGGCTCTGGCTTCGTTTGCGCGGCGATAGTGATCCAGTCGCTGGTGGGGTGTCGGTGTTCATCATCAGTCCAGCAGCGAGCGAGATGCTCGGCTTCTTCCTCATGTTCTGAGGCTTTCGCTCTGGTGATGTCTGTCGTCGACTGTGGCTATGTATGCGCTTCTCGAAGTTCGAACTGGAAGACTCAAAGACAGCCTGCGACATGGAAGATTCCATGAGCGCGGCGAAATCAGGCATGCTCTGTGGACGCGACATGTCTGGATGGGAGGGCGATTCAGGTTCGGAGGTACAGTGGCAGCAGAAAGTATCGTCGAAGTTATTGGCCAGGTGACACCTAAACGACATAAAGAGACATATGGACGACACAATCTCTTGAAAGCCCAAGAACAAATAAAACACCAAGCGACCGGGGAGGGGCTGGTGAGCTATGGTAGTGTATGAGGTTGCGGCTGGCCGTCATCCCTGTCGATGACCTCACAGTACCACGGCTTTACTGGGATGCGCGTGCGCTTGGGGGTTCTGTACCAGCGGAAGACGGGAAGTCTAGATGTCAATGGATGTCAATTGTCTCATCGCATGCTAGCTCCCTGGCTCGCGGGAAAAGCATCGCAGCGAACGAGGGGCTCCAGCCTGCTCGACACGAGAGGACGCGCATGTTGTTGTTACCCATCAAACGGTACCTGTCTCATTAGCGAATGCAGGGGGCTGCGCATCAGGATCGCGACTTCAGGGGGGAAGAAGGAACGTCCTCCGCCTGGAAATAGGTGGATTTTAGGCCGCGGCTCGTTGAACAAGATAGCCGGTGCGATGCAGTTGGCTCGCGATGCACTGGGGCGGAGCCGCGAGCGAAGTTTGGCGCGGCAGCTGGCAGTGGGGCATGACGTCGCGCACGTGCGGGCGCAGGCGCAGAGCTTCCAGCGTCCTTGGAAAAGACGTTATGCGCACGACTGTAGACATGCTTCGGCGATAAATGTGTTTCTTGCAGTCCCATCGTGGTGTGGACACTCGGAAAAACGCGTGTATCTCTGTGGAGAACATGTCGACCTGATTGGCCGAGGTAAGCAAATGGGCGTGGGTTTTCTTTTCTTAGAAACAAACTACATCAGCCTCTTCATTTTGACGTCCTGTTTGAGCAAGTGGTCTGGTATCAGTTGTCACAACAATGCAGAGGGGAACCAGGATGTGCTGAGTGGAACTATTGATTCCTGCTAGATAGATGATATCCAAGGTGCGACGTGCAAGCTGCGTTGCCCACGTGTTCTTTCGATCATCAAGTTGATATACCTTCATATGTAAAACCTCGTAAATGTTACCAATCTTGAGCATGTCAACGAACACCCCGGTAGAGATATCTGTCCAACGCCCAAGAAATATTCGCATGCGCTGCTGTCCATACAAGATGGCAACTTTTGGGAACGTTAACGTCGCACCAGCGATGACAGCTCTGAACGGGCAGCTAGTTGGAGTCGTCTTGGTCGACGCCGACCTTGACTTCAAAGTGCTCCATGCCACCAAAGCCGTGCTTGGACAACCAACCAGTAGGAACGACCGACTCAAACTGGGTCATCCAAGGCTCAGCAGACTCCTTCTTGAAGATGATGTGCAGGTAGGGCTTGGTGACGGCAGGGGTAGCAGGGATTACTACCCCAAGAGTTGCTGCCAGAGCTACCATAGCAGGAGCTGCGGGAATTGGAGCAGTGTCACGCTGGGCGGGCTTGCGATGAATACGAACCGACGCCAGTGAGCGGCTACGAAGGATAGAGCGCCACTTTCCGTTCATGCTAGAGCATTGACGGTTTTGAAGGACGCGGCGGCCGAACAGGCGGTAGCTGTAAGATGGTCAGTGAATAGATCATGTGATGAAAGAGGCAGGGAAACTCACAGGTCCTTGGCTTCACCATCAGTCTCGGCAACGTAGTTGGCCTTGAGGTAGCGACCGAACCCAGCTTCAATCTTGAGGCTGTTGGCCCAGATGTCAAGAAGAGTAAAGACCTCGATGCCATCACCAGCACGCTCCAGCTCGTTGGGCTTGTCTCCAACCGCGATGGTCAGGTTGCCGACAAAAGGCGCGTCCTCGCTGCGCTCTCCTGGAGGACCGAGGTTGGAGACGACATCTGTGGCAGTTGGATAGAAAGTCTTGAGGTAGTCCACGATCTCGGTGAGGTCCATGCCGATCTCCTGCTTGGCCATGTAGATGGGACGGTACTCAGCCCTGAGTTGACGGCATACCTGGGTAAGGCCCCAGAAGGGACGGTTAGTCTCTCGAGGCTCTGTCTTGGGCTTGGGCTTAGTCGAAAGACGAGACTTGTTGTTGCCGCCCGAGATCTTCTTTTCCTGGTCCTGGTCGACGATGTCAGACGCCAAAGTACGGCCGCGATCGAGACGAGTGCGGGGACGCAGAGAGGCGAGGCGCGGGCGGTAAACGAGGAGGGCCTGCTTGGGACGTCCATGGGTGTGCATGTAGATCTGGTTCCTGAGTTCTATCAACAGTCAGCTTGTGTCAAAAGGGTCGGAATCGCGTGACCTACCTCCAGGGAGGTCCATGAAGCGGAACGGCTTCTGCAGAGCGGGATCGCCGGTGCCGACCTTCTCTTTGAGAGCAGCATCGACCAACTTAGCCATGGTGCCATCTGGCTTTTTCTTGGTCTTCTTGACACCGGCATCAGTGCGCGCGTGGCCTCCACGCTTGCGCTTGCTCTGGCGGATGGGCAGGGCCTGGGCAGGGACGGGACTCATGGTGAGTGCCGCGAAGCCAGGTACAGGCAGTCCAGGGGAGGGCGGCACAGTCGCATGCTCCGAGCCCATGATGACGTTGGAACCGCCATTGAAGCCATTTCGGCGTGACTTTGGTGTAGAAGGGGCAGGAACGACTGGCGGATGACCAAACTTCCTGGGAGAAGAACGGGAAGGAGGTGGGGTGCTCGGGCGAGTAGGGCTGTCTGAGTTAGCAGAGTTCATCAAACCAATACTGAGAGCTTTTTGGGGAAATAATGAGCTCTACGTGTGAGGAAAAGGGACTTACGCCATGAGGTCTTGTACTTCCGGCTTGTTGCTGGGTTTGAGAGAAGCTGCTGATAGCGTGGGAAATAGTGATAATCAAATATTCAAGATAACTGCGGGATGTAGAAGTAATGGAGCGTAGACCATGGAGATTCTTTTATCTCTTGCGAAGTAAAGGTGAGCGAGGAAGCGCCAACGATAATCGCCACCAGAGTGTCTGACGGTGACTGGGGAAATTGCCCAAATCGGTCGTCACCTCGACATTAAGCCTCAGGTAAGAGAGCGGGGATGCTTGGCATTTCTATCATAATCGTATTTCGTGTTGGTATGATGGAGTTTGGAAGCAAGGATGTTGAATAGGATGTCATTGTACCAATAATCCAAGAACGTGGAAGGAGCGCGTGATTCAATCGCGTGGTTGTGGGCAGGTCTTTCCTATTGTACCTACGAGGGAAGGCAGCATCTCAGTGCCAGTAGTTGTAGTCACAGCGATGGGTCATACATCGAAATCCCAGGCTCCGACCCTGAACACGAAGGTGAGTTGCGTTTGTAGGTGGTTGCAATTGTGTAGAAAGCCATTCCCTCCAATTCTTACCTCCGGTATCGCACGCGTGACCAAGAACAAGAACGTGCGATTGTAGGGTATTGAGACGTGTTATTGTGTTGAAATGCGTCGTGACTTTGCTTCAGCGTGATCGCTTTTCCTTATCGTAGTGGTGGTATGATAGAGGCAGGTGAGGTGGGAGCCTGAAGTAGATAGAAAGTCCCCTCTGCAAACAAGTGGCTGCTGGGATAGTTGCGATGCAAGAGACGGGGACGACGCAATAAGTGGTAATAGATAAGGGTACTGAGTACCGAACGACGCTGTGGTGGCTGTGGTAGGAACAAACTCGAGTACAAACAAGCGCCTTCTTATATGCAAGACGGTATCGAGAGCGGTAGAGCCTGGCAGAAATCGAAACTACAGCCTGATCTATCTGAAAGTAGATCAGATTTCACAACAGGAGACGCATTCAATGAGGAAAGACCCGAAGGTCGTGGTAGAAAGAGCGGACCCTGGGACCTGTCTGGGCCATGACGTCATCATCCCCGCGATCGTTATTCAGGCATCCAGAATACCTAGGTAGCTGTCGCATTGCTGCACTCACAGTATCATGTATTAACGAGTAAACTTTGTTTAAATTGTTGTGGACTTTTAACACAGCCATACCCTAACTCCCAAAGACATCCGTGTACAGTACGACATGAATTCTGCTCCCCCATGATGTAACCTTGGAATTTTCGATCATGATTACATTGCTTAAAATCGCTCCCCCCTCCGTCCGCTGTTGAACCGCACTCATTGACAGTATGCTCTTTACGCGTAGCCCATCGTACCATCCCAAGTTTCAACTCGCATGCCGCAATAGGCCTCCAAGGCTTTTTCAAGGGGAAGGATCCGCTGCTTAGCGTATTTTGGCGTCCAATACCCGTATGGTCCAACCTGTACAACTATGACTGGGGGGGCATACGGAGCAGTGTGCTCGATTACCATGCCGTCAAATATGTTTTCGCGTATAGCTAAGAGCCAGGCGGGGTCGTCATATTGAAGAAGAAGACACAGTTTGTGGCAATCTCTCTCTGCCAAGACCCTGAGGCTGGGATCAGACTCATCAGGTGTGCGGTATGAGTTTTCCAGGGCGACTTCGAAGCGAATACATGTCCAACGCGCGCGGATCTTTAGTAGTTCCGCCATATCTTCAATCATAGCCAAGTCTGCAGCGGAACCATTGGAGTAACGATTGTATGAAGGATCCTGTGGCTTGCCCCATGAAAGCCGCACAACGCGAGGGCCGCCGCTCGAACTGGGCCCGCCTGGGTAGAATGTATTGAACCAATACTCCATGTGTTCGATTCTGTCCCAACGAAATGCGACTACCGCTTCACGGCGCTGTATGGGCAAGTATTCAGCTCTGATCTGCCGGCAAACTTTCGTAAGCCCAGCGCCGATGCCCTGGAGAGAGGTATCATGCTGGTAGTTCATGTTTGAGATGGTTTGTACTTCAGACAAGGAAGCGAAGTGGTACACTCGATTGCGCAGTTCTGTCTATCGTTAGGTTTTCGTCTTGCAAAAGAGGCGGAGAGAATCTGGTACCTGGTATAAGATCGAGGAAGCGGAAAGTCATCGTGACTATGCGGTAGGTTGAGAAGTGGATTGCAAGTCTCTTTGGTGGTAGCTGCGACGTGAGCGTGTTCGCGGATCGAGATCGGTATGCAGAGGTATCGCTATGTAGGTGGTGCGACCGCGTTATATATCTTTGCTCCTGACTCACATCTAAGTGCGATGCGAAAACTTGGTTCATCCACTTCGTCCTATGGTACTGCGGTGCGGAGCAGACTAGCGTATCACAACTTCCGAAATCTACATCACACCCAGTCAATCCGTTTTCCTCGACTAAAATGTCTCGTTAGCACAAGAGCTTGCGCACCGCAAAGTGGCAAGTGAGCGGGGAGGAGCGCTCACGAAAGATGTTTGACTACGCGAGCTCTACCAGGCTCCGAGCCGGCGTACAGTGAGCGCCGACCCGCTCATAGCCTCTGAGAGATAAATGACATACTTGGCAACACAAAGTGGACAGGTGATTGGGTGTAACAATTAACTTTTCATCTGATTCTTCATACACTACAGACTTGGTGACGCGTGCTCATCAGGCGATACGCTTGAAAGCTCGGGCTGACCAGTTCTTCAAACCCGCTCAAGCGAACATAGGTGAAAAGTACAACGCAACATGATGACCGTGTGATAACGCGACGTCAAGACCGCGAGCGCTGCTCCATGCATCAGGCGCGCTGATCGCTTCATCGTAGTTTTTGGGGGCGTGAACACCCGTGAAGATGATACGAATACATGTAGTCTCAACGAATGATGTGCTTGATCTGATCCGGACATCTCCAATAATCCCGTTCCTAATATCCTCGCGCCACTTTCCGTTCGCATGGCAAGCAAGTGCGTTGAGACCACGAATTTGGTTCAAATTCCGGAAGGACATGCCATGCTGTGCAAGGTTATAGCCAGGCACAATCTCGCAGTCCAGGCCAGGGTGGGTAGCTTTGAGCTTGAGGACCGAGAAGATGCTGAAGTGAGAGCCGAAAACTGAGAAATCCGCGAATTTTCCTTCGACGCGTATTTTGTGAGGGAGGTACATGGCGTCTTCGGCTGGTGTCAGGAATGCCCGAGCATAACAGCCAACATTTGCAAAGTCCAGCCGAACCTCAGCCTTGCGACGTTGGACCGGGCGATATTCTCGGCGGATCTGGACACACACTCTTGTGAGCGCAGCGTACCTAGGTAGTTGCCAGACTGAAGAGAGGCGTCGTGTCGGATAGGAACGTGTGCGTCGGTGATTGATGCGAAGTGGTAAACCACATTGCGCAATTCTGAAAAATGTTAGCAAGTCCTCTCGCGCGATCCGGGATGAGGGGAATAGCATACCTGGGTTGAGGTCGAGGAAGCGAAAGGCCATGGTGATTCTGGTACTCTTGAAGCGAATGGGTAACTTGGACGACGGTAGTATTTGACGGAGACTCAGATGTAAACGTGGTGGCTTATGGAGAGTTTGATAGCGAAGATAGCGACTCATTGTAAGCGAGGGCAGGAATTAGCTTACCCGCACGTGAGCCCAGGCAGTAGCGCTATGATCTACAGAGAGCGGTGAGTCACTGACAGCTTACTTATTACGTAGTGAGTGATAGATGATTGCATTCTGTATCTCTCTGTGTACTATCTACGTATGGAAAGTAACCTTGAATGGAAGCTCTAGTACTCTTCATCGTAGTGAAGGAAAGCGACGTCGACGCGATGACTGTGCAATGCCGGAGCCTGCAGGCCGTGAGAGATACGCCACTCCTCGGAAGCTCTCGGTGTTTTAGGCATGTCCCTCCAACCAAGCGTACCCAAGAAGACGATATTAACCCATGTAGACCCGATCTCCATTTCTGTGTAGACTTGATCAATGGAACCGTTGTTGATGCACGCATGCCAGTCCTTGTTCGAGTGAAAGAGCAGCGAGTTCAGATCCTGTGCTTGCGTCGAGGCGATAGCCGCTAGAGCAGACGCGTCATGCGAGCCACTCCCTATGAATCGCCATTCATCTGGGATAGTAGCGGGCACGATCCTAATGTCCAAGCGGGGGTTCTGAGCTTTGACTTGGAGAACTGGAAGTGAGTCGAAACTCACAATCCACCCTGGCTTGATGAGAGATACCCGGACGTGAACCTCAAGAGGGAGGATCATAGTGTCCGCGACTGAAGTAAGAAAGGTTTGAGTAAAGTCATCAAGGTCTGAAAAGTCCACGAAAAGTTTGGCCCTGCGACGCTGAATTGGTCGATATTCAGCTCGGATTTGAACGCAAGCTCTCGTAAGGCCCGCGTAGTTGCCGTCTTCTCCAGAACATAGTTGGGATATAGCCAGCGGCTCGTCATTGCCTACCGCAACGATCTCGTAGATGCGGTTGCGCAGCTCTGCATTAAGTCAGCGCTGTCTGATGTGCAAGTCCAGTGAATAAAGTGAAAGACGGGGATTGCGTACCTGCTGGGAAATCTAAAAACCTGAAGACCATCTTTGCGAACCCTTGCGTTGATGGGTGGTGCTGGTGTGTTCAAGTTCGATGTAGGGTCGTGTATCCACAGTGTAGTTCGAAAAGCAACCTTGGAAGCTTGTTGTGAGCCTGCGGCCGGAGCCAGCTAGCGTCAGACCGTGCACGCTAAGCCCACACCTGGGCAGGCTCGTCGTGCTCTTTAATAGCGAAGGAAGGTAAAGGTGAGCACGGTTCCTTGGTAATACCCCGTCAAACTACAAGTTATTCCTTGCCGACCGCCTGCGTTGCCTAACATAGTGGACTGTGAAAACACGCCGAGAGGCTCGATGGATGAGACAGAGTTTGAAGTGTGCTTTGGCGAGTGCAGCATGAACGTGAAAGATCTCCCTGCCTCATCCAGTCGCACCGGCTACACTAGAACTGCAGTGTAGTACACATCTCGACACCCTACCTAGGTAACGACTGCCTTACTTATAGCCTTCTTTTGCTTCGTCGTCTCATACTGAAGGCGTCTGACTGAAGAAAGTTACCGAAGAGTATGCTCAGGTCTTGAGCGAAGTAGACTGCTACCTCATCGTCGTGTGCGAGGCTACCTAGGTACGTGAACGTCGTTGTCCTCCTCGTACTCCAGATTACCGTATCTAGTACGATGCGCAACAGTGACAGTTCATAGCGTACAGAAGCAGACTGCCGTGCGAAGAATGGAATCCGGTTGCCGCAAAGGACGTGTCATGGCAGCGCCCGGCGAAAGAGTTGATGAGAGGCGATAAAATCGTGGTGGTCTACCTGATCCTCTGCATCTCAAGGTCTAACAACAACTCCGAGATTCCAGCCGAGCCAAAGCGAACTCAACATCCAGCAAAATATCGTGGAAGGAAGTCACAAAAGAACAACGCAGTCGGTAGAAGACACGGTACGAGCCGCGCGCTCAGAAGGAAGGTAAGCCGAGCGCAACGGGCACCATCCCAATTCAGGAACCATCCCGCCCCATCCGGACGACAGTCCTCCAGATTTGCCCCGCAACACCACCCCGTGACGCAATGCCATCCCATGTTTTGCTCGGCGGGGTAAAAGCTGCACCGTCAGAGTCGCGGCCTTTGAGCCTCACTCGGCAGACCTTCCTCCGCCCAATCTTACGCGTCTAGATACATAAGTCGAGACCTCCGACTCCGACTTCTTACTATATTACAGACTACTGAGTTCCCTGTCTTTACTTCAAGTCATACCAATTTTTTAAGCTTCTACAGCATATCTTTCTCCCCCAGGAAACCGCCAAAATGTCCATGTCCGTCGAAGAATGCCAGGCGCCACGCGCCGGCTTCCCCAAACCCGTGCCGGACACACCCACAAACGTCATGCAACAATTCAGCATGAAAGGCAAAGTCATTGTGGTCAACGGCGCAGCCGAAGGAATCGGTGGAGCCGTAGCCGACGCCATGGCCGAAGCAGGCGGCAACGTAGCCCTGTGGTACAACTCCAACAGCGCAGCCATAACCCGCGCGGAGAGCCTCGCAAAGACACACAACGTCAAGACAAAAGCCTACAGCGTGAACCAGATCAACGCCGAGGCAGTCCAAAAAGCCGTGCAACAAGTAGTTGAGGACTTTGGCCGCATCGACGTCTTCGTCGCCAACGCCGGCACAGGAGATAGCAAGCCGCTCCTCGACCAAACCCTCGATAGCTACCACAACCTCATGAAAGTCAACGTCGACGGCCCCGTTTTCTGCGCCAAGTACGCCGGCGAGGTATTCAAAAAGCAAGGCTTCGGCAACTTGATCCTCACCAGCTCCATCTCCGCGCACATTGTCAATGTACCCATCGACCAACCCATCTACAACGGTACAAAAGCGTTTATCTCGCATTTGGGCAAGTCGCTGGCGAGGGAGTGGAGGGAGTTTGCGAGGGTCAACATTGTGAGCCCGGGGTTCTTTGATACGAAGATGGGGGCTGGGCCGCAGGTTATTAATGAGGGGTTGAGGATGATTCCGCTGGGGAGACAGGGTAATGTCAAGGAGATTAAGGGGTTGTTTTTGTACTTGGGTAGTGATGCGTCGAGTTATATGACAGGAAGCGATTGTATTATTGACGGTGGGTATGTACTGCCATAGATGTGTAGTGGATAGAGGAAAGGAATTGATACCATGTCTGTTATTCATTGAATGCAGGAAAGCTATACCCGTTGCCTGCGTCGTGTATTCCTAATCATGGACATTGTTCTAGCTCTTCAAACATTTGATTAGGGTGAAAGGTTCAAATTAAAAGGTATATGTGCTCGCTAAGCCCAGATGAAAAGAAATTGGAAACACGATGAGAACTCTACTCATCTTTACTCCTCGCCCTGTCCAGGCTCTCCCGCTCGGTCGTCTCACCACTTCCCGCTTCAACACCTTCGCTTCCCTTGCTCTCTTCATCTCTCCTCTTGTCTTGAGCGATATCTGGCGCAGGTGCAAAGTTACTCTTGCCTCGGATTCTCTTACCAAATACATAGAAGACCACTGGCATCGGTACAAGTACGAGCGCCACGCAGCCAAGCAGTGTACTGGCCCATTGGATTCCCATACCATTGAACATGAAGGTTGCGAATAGTGGGAAGACTCCACCAAACATGGACCGCATAAAGGTGTTTGCTGCAATAGCGGAAGCAGCAAACATAAGGTACGCGTCGACAATGTAGTTGAGAAGCGAGAGGAAGATGGAAAAGATTCCGAAGCCGGTGAAGAGACCGCTCAGGACAGGGACGATCCAGTGAACATTGCCGGTGTAGCCTGTCCATCCGAACCAGAAGAGACCGGCTGCGAAGAGCACACCACCGACCATGCTGATGGGTAGGCGCCATTCTGGGACGGGAATGTTGTTGTTGGCTTCCAGCTTTTTGATGTATCGTGGGTTGTCGACGACAATGATGATGAAAGCGATCACTTCACCAGCGACCATGCCGAAGTAGGCAAGTCCGCCGATGCCGGGACTCCAGCCGTAGACGCCTTGGAAGACGAGGGCGTATGCGGTAAGGAAGAGGTAGAGTAAACCATCTAGAATTGTTAGCTCAGTTCTTGTAACAAGACGGGGTGATCCAACTTACATATAAAGCTCATGTAGATGGTGATGAGCAGTACAATAGGCTCGGTGAAGAGAATGCGCATCGGTCGGCTGACGTTCTTAACGATCAGCTCCTTGAAGTCGACTTCAATTTCCTCCTGCTTGGCGTGGATACCCCAGTTCTTGGTTCGTCTCCTCAGCTCGCTCGCCTTGTTGATCAGCACGACAGGCGGGTATGTCTCTTCCATGAAGAAGAAGAGCAGAGCGAATGACAAAAAGCCCATAAAACTGCTGATGTATTCGGTCCACCGCCATCCAAGATCGCTCTGGGTGATGAATCCTCCGATGAAGGGTGCGAGTAGAGGGCCCATGAAGACGGTTGCGGAGAAGACTGCGACGGCGAGACCGCGGAGTTTGTTGTCGAACATATCAGCGAAGACGGCGGCGACGATAGCGAGAGGAGAGGAGCCGAAGAGACCGGCGAAGAATCGACATATCATGATGGTCTGGATATCTTTGGCTGCGGCGACGGCGATGCTGAAGATGGCAAAACCAAAGGCGGCGATGATGAGGGGAGGTTTTCGGCCATACAGCTCCGAGAAAGGTGCCCACATCTAGAAGTTGTTAGCATATCTGACCGCAGTCTATGGTCAGCGTTCACTTACCAAAGGTCCAAAGGCATATCCAAAAACGAACAAACTCGTTCCTAGAGTGCCCACAACATTGGCAACACCGTATTGTTGCGATACTGCTCCTGTAGCGGCCGAGAAGATACTGCTACCCATGGTGGCTGTGAGGGCGTCGAATGCTAGGATAGCACCAATGCCAATCTTCTTCTTCATCGGCCAGTTCTGCGCATGCAGCGGATCGTCGACGCCGTCGAACTCGACTACATATTCTTCCCTGTCCGGTAGCAGCGGGGGGAAAGGCTTGCCAGCTCCTAGGTTCGGCAATGGCTTCTCTGTACGACGGCGTGTGAGGGTCCTCGATAACCGCGAATCGACGCGCGATGCACCGACTGTGCCTGCATGCTGACTTCTGTGTGTCTCGATTCGGCGGATAGCTTCGGGGTTGCGTTCAGTGGGATGTAGTGTCAGGTAGTTGCCGCTCGAAGCCTGCGAATTGACGGTCGGTCGGCGGTCGCGTGCGGGGGTCGAGCGGGCGGTGCGTATTTCTTCGAGACGTGCGCTATGCGTGGATGCAGAGCTTGCAGAGCTGACGGTCGAAGCCGAAGATGTGCTGTGTCGTGTGAGAGGTGAGGCGACTTCCTCTTCCTTTTCTCTGATGGGTGATGCTACTGCTTCTGTTGGGAACGATATCTCGCTCTGGGTGCGCTCTCCTCGTTCGTGTGCTTCGATGTTGCGCAGGCGCTCATCAGGTGTCTGGTCATGCAAGTGCCGTCTGTGGTACTCTTCGCGAAACTGGCGGTGCGGGTCCCAATTTGCGAAGCGCTCAGGGCTTGCGTTCGCCTCATTGCGCAGGATATCCAGGTCTTCGTTCTGCATCTTGATCGCAATCTCCTCTTTCCTCGACCAAGGTTGTGAGAGTGGCTGTCGCGCTGGAAAGCGATAGAAATTGCCAGCGCTCGGCTGTCGGAACAATAATAGTAAATGTTCAGCCCGACGACGAGGCCGTTGTGGATCGTGTGGATCTAACGCGCGACGGTACGACTAGTCGTGACCGTGTTTTCGGGAGATGGACGCGGGTGCTGTCAATGGCGATGAACAAGCTTCAATCGTTCAATCGCTTGACAGCAGCCCGTCGCCCTAAGTATCTGGCGCGCGTGGCCGTCATGAGCGAAAGATTTGCTCACCTGCACATCTCCCGCGTCTGTCCCATGCGACATGGCGAGAATATTGCCGACACCAGCGTCCGTATCCGGCGGACAGAAGGTGAGTAAGCCACCGCTAGCCGATTGTGCGAAGGCGGTCAGAGCTGTCCTTCATCGTGATTGGGCAGGTCAGTTGAGCGCAGAGAAGAGGTTTGCCGGCGGAAATAGAAGTTCGCCTACGTCATGGGCAGAATCTGCTGGGTAATCAGCGGCGCAGGCCATTGTCATCACCGTGCATACGTAGCGCCTCATGCAAGTGGGGCACCTCGTGGTCCTCAATAGAGAAATCGTCGCAATAGGGGAAGATGCCATTGCCATTGATGCCCATTCATATGCCTGACCCGTAGTAGCACTCATAGCAAATCTGCCATCTACATCGCAGCTACCGCTCTCTCAAACATCTTGCCCAGGTACGCGTGTCGGGTTTCGCCAGCGGGCAAAAGCTGCGTTGCGAAGATGCCGCAAGTACCGCCCTTGCGATCGATCCACCACTTCAGATTCGGTGCACCTCCCCATCGCAAGGTGCCAGCCTTCAAGCCTCCTTCGGCATCATCTTCGAGTGCTACTAGACCGCCCAAAGCATGAGACCATTTCCGCGCACCAGGAGTGCCAAACGGAGCATCGCCTGGAATCATGATGGCAGCGTAGGCTGGGACGGACAGCGTCTGATCGAGCGACTCCTGCGCCGCGGGTGGTATACATGGAGCAAACAAGAGCTCGATACTTTCCGACTTGAGAAGCTTGCCATCGTTCCGGAGAAGCGACTTTAGAAGTGCGAGGTAGTCTTCGGTATTGCCGAACAAACCTCCGCCACCGAACTCATCTTGAGGATCCAGCGGCTGTGCCAGTGGCATATCTGGTGGGTTGCCAGGTATGAGAGCTGCATCAGGTGCAAGACGGGTGGTCATCGGCATCAACTCCTGCTCGATATTGTTGTGCTTGACGTAGAAGGAAGTCTTATCCATCCCCAACACATCAAAGATGTATTGGCGCATGTATGCTTCCAGCGTGCAGTTGTTGGCCCTCGCGATCATCAAGCCCACAAGCTCCAGCCCGCCACCATATGCGAAGCCGGAGCCGGGCTCAAAGATGAGAGGTGTCGCAAAGCACTGCGTGATAGGCGTGCGCATGAAGAGACTTTCTTCGCTGCGATGCTGCCTCCACTTCACGAGGTCAGCCGCGAGAAAGTCGTAGCCGACTCCGCTCGTATGCGTCAGCAATCTTCGCAATGTCAACCTTTCTTTTGCAGGTTGTAAGATAGGTTCATCAGCGTTCCAGCCAGTCAGGACAACAGAATTCTTCCATTCAGGCAGTAAACGATCGGTGTCAGTGGGTTCGTCGAGCGAAAACAGCCCACGCTCGACGCACTGCAAGGCTGCGATAGCCGTCGCTAGCTTCGTGCAAGATGCCAGCCATACAGTCGTCTTCGTCGATACTGGTGGCGACGTGGAGTCGAGCTGCAGTGTACCAAATGCAGCAAGAAAGTCATCTGGTTCCGAAGCATCAGCTGTGAATCAAGTTAGCCGCGAACTGTAGGCCATGTAACAGAAACACAAATGACAAGCGAGGTCGCCGACCGTGCGAACGGCTGCGAGCATCCGACGGCTCCGTCGCATATTCCGAGTCCATCTCAACGTGCCGCTCTCAAACGCACGCTAAACTCAACGGCCCTGGCAAGTGTTTTGGCAAAAGAAAACATGCAAAACCAGACCATACCCTTTCGAAGTGCTCTTGCAGCACCGAGAGCCACACCGGGCAGCAGGCGCTCAGGGCCGGATGCAACTGCCGACTGAAAAGCGTCATTGAACGAGGCAGAGGTTGTCATCTTGTAAACTTGGAAGGTACGCAGTGCTTTGGGTGTTTACCTACATCATCCTCGATACCAGACCTTTATATCTTGATGAAGCCAAACTATGCTTATCATGCATCCTTCTGGGTGACTCACAATTGCATCGCAAGTGCCCGCGGAGACAACAAAAGGGCGCTGTAGGATTTAGGACGATGCAACAACTATCGTGAAGCTTCAGTCGCTTAGATGCTCACAGAGCGCGTTGCTGTTTGGGTACTAGGGCGAGGCTGCCATCCTGATTCCGCGACTATTTTTGCGTCCTACGGGCGTAACCCCTCTCTTCAACGCCCTTCGGGCTGAACGCCTACGCTGTAGCCGCGGAAACAGGTATCTCTCGACTATCACTGCGACTTCATCGCAGCGCTCTATCCTACATAGGTAGGCATGCCGCT